TACATGTGGTCTTTGTTTAACAGCAACAGTATGAGAAGACCTTTCTAAAACTTATTATTAACAAGTTAAGCCTAGGTCCTAACTACGTTTAGGACGCACGGTTTTTAGGTTCCTTGCGTCTGGCTAGGACGTAGCTAGATCGCACGTCGCGGCTGTTGATCATGTCTAAAAGTTTCTACGTGCTGTTTGTGTCCTCCCAAAAGTCGCACGATGGACGTGCTCCTCACGCACGAACTCCCACGTTTTCCCCATTTTTTTGGCCGTAGACCACACGTAGCAGCCCGTACGTTCGGTTGGGACCTAGGCTTTATGGATTCTCATGCATTATAATAATTTTTGGTCCCTTTGATTCAAAACTTGTGAAGAATGGTGTTCAGGAAGACATTGTTAAAGATTCCAAGAAAAGTGACATTTTCACAACATAACCAGTTGACTAACTCAGTTAGACTTACTAGAGTACATGATGTACTGTATTTCAGCCAAAAGGAACATTGCAGCAAATTTCAACTATTAAAACAGAATGCTAATTTTAAAGTTATGGTGAAAAATAAAGAAATACTTGCAGGTATAGAAAATACATCAAACAGTGAAATGATATTGTTTTGTAAAAATAGCCAGATTATGTTAATCTTGACCTGTATTTAAAAATACCAAACCTACAAGTAGACTTCAAATAAAACAGATATAGAATCTGGCAGTTATAGCACAAAAGAGACTGCTGTATGGTGTGACAGCAATGGCATCAGCTACAATGACAACATGAATAGATTCTAGTGATCAGAATATAGTAAACAAAGACACTTTAACTGCCTGTATGTAAAAAGAAGGGTCATTTTGTTCTATTATGACACTGCAGATATTTTATGTTTTCCTATTTTTTTTTTTGACAAAATATCTTAAATAATTTTACATTTACATGGCATTGTAATTACCTTTTGTATGGCAAGTCGGACTTTCTCTTTCTTTAGCTCCACTCTCTTGTTCTCTCGTTCAGCTTGTGCCTTCCTTCTTTCCTGGAAAACCCAGTCAAACAGTTTTTTTATACTACTGGGCATTTCTGCAAATACTATACTCCAGAGTTTAATCCTGCCGAGCTGCTTGGTCTCCTGTTGTCAAATTAGTCATTACATTTCAGACAGCCAAGATAACGGTATCACATGGGTGCTCTGATCAGGAGTGCATCCTGAGGGATAGTGCAGCAATTTCAATAGGTACTTTATACATCCCAAAGGAATGTCAAAATAAAGCACATTTGTCTTTCCCAGTATTTTAGCCTTTGTAAATGAGATCTTTTGGCTAATGTTCATGACAAAAGAGCACTTTTAGGGATGAAGTGTGTAACTACTCGTAGGTTTGCAATAAGGTTTTAGAAATCAGCTCTTTGCAAAAGTTGACAAAATTTTATGGGGAAAGTTCAGAAATGCAGTCCATGTCAGCCATTATTCCTTCACATGCAAACCATTCTGTTTGACAAAACTTGACAACCATAGGTAATTAACTTTGTGGTCTTCAATACCAATGCAGCAGAGATGACAGATGATCATTGTAATATACAGAACACCTAGTACGTAATCATATTCATACTGCTGAACATGATAACAAATATATATCTATGCACATGTATACAGACAAGTTCAGTCACCAGTAGAATACAAGTAGAACTTTTTCAACAGTCCACATATTGCTATTGCCTGCAGCACTGCGGTTCATGCTAAACCATTGCCAATTGTGCACACACCCCGACACTGAGATACAGGTGAACCCCTTGTAAATAACAGTGCTATGAATATAAAACTATGTCACCCAGCTCAGTATGAACTTTGACCCAACACTTGGAGAGAGCAAAAACTATTTTTTATGAGTTCAGCCAATAGCCAAAAACTGAAACACTCTAGAATACAGATCAGGGCTGATAATTATGATGTTCACATGTGCATATAACCATGAGGAACCAGAATAATTACCTTTAATATTTTTGTGATGAGCAAAGTTAATAGCTCCCCCATTCTCTAAATTCCCCAAATATCACATTTTAGACCAATGCTTACTATGTTCAAGCTTTCATTCCTAAAAAATTCAGTTCTTTAGAAACTTTTTATCCATGCCAAAATAAACATCATTCTATACACGAGATAATAAAAAATGCCAACAATGGCACTTTAAATTCTATACCTGAGCAGGCACAATGAACATAATTCTAGGACCTTCTTTTGATCCTGAAAGGGTATACTTCATTTTTTAAAAAGAAATTTGAAGTATTTGCCCAAGTAGCATGCCCTACATACAATCTCAATAGAGATATCAACTCACCTTCAGTGCCATCAGACTTGTTTTCTGTTTTTCCATCACAGCCAATCTGAAATGATAAAACATGTTATGCACAATGTGTTCCTTACACACATGCATTCATCTCTGTATTGTATAAATAATAACAAAAGAAAAAAAATTCCCACAGGCTATCAAATAACAACAATATGAGATATAATTACCTGACAGAGGTTTGAAAGGGACACAACTGATACTGTAACTAAAAGGTAAATCAACACAAAAAAAGTTACATATTTCTACATCTAACTCTATGAAGATATTGAAGGAGATAAATATAAAACTAGATTTTCATTACTCTAAAAAATATTTGTTAGTCTGGAAGAGGTTCATTGTTAACTTTCCCAGGTAAAACGAGACAGTACAATAAAATGCCACACTCCATTTCAACAAAACATTACATGGGTAACGCAAAGTGCAGCATGGAGACTTAACTCTCATGACAACTGCTGTTAACTGGTGGGATTAATGTCAGATGTCCAGGGACAAATGCTCAAAAATGCACAAAAACTATTTCTTTACAGCATCATTCGATCAGTTTGAGATAATAGTCATTTTTTAAGTGATCAGAAACTTAAACATTGTTAGTTTGTCTTATGACACAATTATTTCTTTTTGCATAAATCAGTGAAGATTTATAAATCAAAATGATATAAACAATTAAGTGCATTATTATTATGAATCAAAAAGCCAAAGGTGTCTACTTTACAACACGTCAGGTGGTGAACATCTCAAAACCTTCATGAAATATATGCTTTAAGTTAGTACTGTCTTTTTCAACATTCCTTATGGTTGATCTGGTTACCAAGACAAACAGCAAGAATGACACTGAAGAATTTTAAAATGTGCAGAGAGGGATTGGTTCTTTACATACACTCATGACACTTTGTACATATTATTAATACTTACTTTTTGCACAATTCAAAATACAAAGTTTAATCCTTTTTTTTTTTTGTAATATGCAGCCAAATGATATGTTTGGACTACCAATTTTCGCAGCAGATAGCTTGTAAGGTAGTACATATGCCTATGTTTCTTCATGCAAATATTTTTCTATGGAAAGCAAAGTTTGTCAAGTGTGTCCAAAATCTCATGTATGGCAAATATGTCATAAGTTCTCATAACATTTATCTTTAAAACAAAAAAATTATGTTAGCTATGTAAACACAAAATTGTTAATAGTACGCTGCACCAAGTGTTGTTCAAAGGGGAGACCACTTGGGGCAAAGGTTGTTTTTTTTTTTGCCAGTTGTGAGAAGTGTTCATAAAACACATTATTAAGTTATACTAACTCCATTACATTGTACTATTCATCACAAATTACACAGAATGTATGAACATGCGCCATCACAAAGACATAGTATGACATGCCCATGCATACAAGTTTTTCATAACATACAAAACAACTCAAGCAACATGCATAACTTGATTAAACATCAACATATAATTTTGATAAATACATATTGCTATTATCTGACACAGAATCTATTTTCCAACTGACAGAAAAAGAGCACACATCCTCAGCATTGCCAGAATAACCACATTCTACAATATAACACACAATTTAAAGTTGGATATACTGCTCTTTTTGAAATAGGCTGACAAAGTTCCATTTATTCAATGGTTTATGATAACATTGCTTATTCAAATTCCATATTCTCTTTGGTTCACTGGATGAAATGGTTAGTATCTAAATTGTTAGTATTTAGTAATTGTGCAGGAAGCAACTGGTAAAATTGCTACAGTTACACAGATAGGAAACCGATGATATTCCAAAACCAAAAACGTGTTTGAGTGCATCTACAGGGATATGTCTTTGGATCACTTACCTTGGTGTAGATGGAGGTGGATGTTAGCTAGCTTAGGGAGAAAATGAGCAAACACAATGGAGAGCTGGAAGAAGCTATCAGACTAACCTGTGAGTTAAAATGCACTAAGTCTCCCACATTGGTAGTAGTAGTAGAACAGATACCACATCGAAGAAAACAAAGGACACGAGGAGGAGTGCTGGAAAGACCCTGGAGGAAAAGAGATGTGTGTGTGTGTGTGTGTGTGTTTGTGTGTGCACGCACAACTATTTCAAGCAAAGTTATGAGTGCTGCAATGAAAATGATTTTGTTAAAGCAGCTACTTCAACAAACTGCTCTCAAAAAGCATCTACAAAAAGAATGTGATGATATGAAGTTTATCTTTAGTTAATAAAACGTCATGAATTTGGACTTTTTCTTTCTGTTTAAATTAACTACACTTAGTAAATTGAACCACTCAAAATAAATATCATTTTGTATTTATTTTCACCATTTTGTATACTTATTGGTTAAGAATTAAGTATAAGTTTGAAAAGAATGTAGTTTGTATTATACAAGTAAAAAGTCTTTGAACAAAGTGAACAAAGCGGAGATAAAAGTCTGAACACAGCCTTACTCCTTTCTTGTCAAAGTTGTAAATGGTTCAGGCAGAGGGAGGGATTTTCTGTATTCCCCTTACTAGTAACAAAGCAAGTTTAACCACTTATTTATTTTTATTCAACATACATTTGCAAGGTTTGAGATAACTTTAACTTTTTTGATGCAAAACACACAAGAAAGGTATGTTCATGAAATTTTGTTTAGCATGAACAAAATCAAACAAATATTTTGAGAGTTCATTGTTTTCAAATGCATGGCTGTGCTCAAGTTTACTTTATGCAATTAGAGAAAATAACAAAAATGCACCAAAATCTGTTAAATGGAGTACTTGTTCACCATTAAGTGTTTGGATAAATTATGCTTTTGTTCATGATAAGTAATGTTATTGCTTAAATTCAGTATTAAGTAAAATTCTATGTAATCTCGGCAACCAAAAAAAAAAAAAAAAATTGTTTGCATGGTAAAGCTTACTTTGACAAGAAAGGTGGTCAAGATAACTTTTAAATAAAAAAGTCTCATGCACAGTAGATAACTTTTAATATTAAACCATAACCGAGTACATCGCATACATGTGAAATATGTCTAAAATTATTCCATATCAAAAGGAAATATGTGTTTGTCCCCAATTTCCTGAACATTAACCAAAACAAACTACAATGTGATAGCGTTTGTAGTTTTGAACTTGTATTAATTCAGAAAATTTCTACAAAATTCAAGAAATCATGATGGTGAATATAATGGTAAATATGTATGTAATATATTTATTTATAGAATTCTTTCACACATTACCCAACACCAAGTTACAAACATCAGAGTGCATTTCTATATGCAACAGTATTCAATGGCCTACAAAGCAATATACATTTAGCACCTTTACTACCATTCTATGAGCCATAATTTCTAAACATTTAAAATGGATATTTAAGAATTACCATGAAAATATTTAGTGCAGTGAACAAAACTAAAAAGTAAATATTTAATACAATTTTTATAGTCTTCGGTTAGGCTCAGGTCTATTTCTTATATCTAACTTTACATTTAAAACCAACTAATTAAAAAAACTCGAGTTTACCTCCTGTTCTTCGACAGCAGAGTTCCAGGTAGAGCTTTTGCAGGTGCCAGAGAGAGAAAATCCACAGGTCCTTCAATCTTGTTACCTAAAATCATGAACCAAATATCGTGATTATTATTGTTACCAAGTGTTCTCCTGGCATGTCTTAGTGCCAACAGCCATCAGCCTTACTGATAAGCTAGAAGGAAAACAGCCACAATATACCTGTTAACAGAAATAAACTTCCTTCAATAAACACTTTCATCAATGTGTGAAATATACTGATTGAACATGACAGTGAAATGGCTCTTTAGCTTTCACAACCACTGAAATCACCATCTGCATTTGTACAAAATCAGAATATTTACCAAATGATCTGTGAGTTGTATAAGACAAATCATCATGTGATCTTATAATGCACAGTGAGGAGCTCTCTGTCGGATCAAAATTAGTGCCTGTTTCCATGGTGACAAACTATATGCTTATATATAAAACTGTGAGATCTCATATAGCAAACTTTCACAAGCAAAAATCAATGTTATAGGCTGTTTTTGTGTATGCATGTTGAAAGGTGATATTGTAAAAACATTAAACCTTTTATGTATAAGGGTGAAACTTAAAGAACTGTGAATTTAGTATGAGAGAGTCATTTTAATATGACATGCATAACATGGTTAATTGGTGCTGTTGTGCAAATAGGCTGAACAGAGCTCTAGATCACAAGTCATAAAGAAATCTGTGGATGACTGTTATCACCTTTCATTTAGCACACCAAATTGCTTTTGGACCAAATTGTCATCTAGTGAAAAACACCAGTTTATGAGCTTCATGGCTAATCCAGTAGAGGAAGGTGTGCACTGACCTAAATCATAATATTATATAAGAATGAACTTTGTTGAATTTCATAGACATTTTCTCTAAAAAACATGACCTCACCTTCTTTGGCATATTTAAGCAGATGACAGGCGACGGCAAATTCTTCTTTGTCAAGTGTCCCACTGGCATCGTGGTCAGCCAGGTCCCATATCAGAGCTAGTTCACCCAGGGGAAGTCTGCTCTCCAGAAAGACTGGATAAGCACACTTACCTGAAAGTGAAGAAATAACAGACTTGCAAAATATTGCTAACTTCTCCCCATCAAAGTAAATGCAATAAGTGGCACTTAAAATCCGTAAAAAATGATATTTATTACTGCTTATAAAACAGCATCGTGCTGTGAACTGACAGATTTGTTCTCAGATTTATTCTAAAGAACTTCCATTGTGACCAAATACAGGAAATAGATTCATTACACCAAAAATTGCATTTTTTATTCACTGTTTAATAAAACTTACCTTCACAATATTAAATTGTTTATATATATATCTAAACCTTACTACTTGTCCTATTTATCAATACTTCCTGATATTTATACTGAAGATAGACTGACTCTTCTTAGTTCCACTCTTTTATGCTTGCTGTGTCTAAAAACTAAGCTCAACATAAGCAGCAAATGTGATATATATATTTACTTTAGTATGATATTATACCCTCCAAATATGAGGCATGCCCTAGGACGGTATAGAAGGTGGAAAAAAAGAATTGTTGTATTTGCTGCCTATGGTGAGCTTAACCTATCAGACTGGTGACAGGATCTATTTGTACTGAAAAGGGTTAGCCCATGTGCAATTTAAAGACAACAGTTTACTCTCTCTCACCATCAACAAAACCTCTATTTGCTGTGTCTTCCACACTGAACACAGCCTGATAGGCTGCCCTCTCTCTGTCTTCTATGACTGGAACCAGAACTTGTTGAACAGAGGGCAACTGGAGGAAATCTGGGAGCACTTTGGGCAGACTCTTGCCTTGAAGAAGTCCTTGGATCAGATGCATTGCTATGGTGAACTCAGCAACATCTAACATGTTGTCCTTGCCCATATCTGCTAAAATCCTGAAGATATAAATAATTGATAAATCAACACAGAGCAGGATTGATCTAGAAAAATACCGTGAATGTATGTTTTCATCAAAAGTTTAAACATATGTTTGACCAAAAGACATCTTATAAGTATCTAAAATTGAGAACACTACCTAACTATCTGATTTGTTAAACTGTTTTTATTCCTACTAGACATTCATTTATCTTAAAGTCTTCCTTCTCTTTAGTCTTCTTTCTTTTCTTTATATTTTCAAATTTTAATTATAAAAATTTCAAATCTAGTATAAAGGGCCCTGTTGCACAGAAAATTTTTTAGATAAGCACAGATTGGAATGCAGACAACAAAGTCATCTTTGCAGTACTGACCTCAGAGAGTTTCAAATATAGTTAGACTGATAAATGTTAGTTGTCTTAGATAACAGGTTAAATTACAATGTTGAACAGAAAATGGTGACAAGCAAACACTGCGTTGTTCATTATTTGGGTCACCACTTATCACTTGTCAGTTTCTTTCATTAATTATTACATGGATTGGTCAATTTTATACCATATTCATTGATTTTTACACTCACAACTTTTTGTGGTGTAAACAGAGGCTTACCTTGACAAGTGAAATGTGCATAAGGATGTTGAAATGAAACTAAAAAAATTGATCTTGATCAATCAATCTGACTTATGTCATGATATAATACAAAAGGTATTTTCTATTTGGACCAATTTCATATTCTCAGTGGTTTTGTTCATGGGCAGCTATAGCTTTAGCCCACTTCTAAGTTTGATAACAATGTTGGACCCAGGGCTTACTTTTCAAGATAAAAAAAGGACTTTTGATTCCAATTGAAATACATATTAGTTGCCTTAATCATGATATGTAAATGATTAGAAATAAGACTTTGTGAAAACTGCAGGCCGTAGCCGGGGGGGGGGGGGGGGGGGTAGTANGTTATTACATTTCAGACAGCCAAGATAACGGTATCACATGGGTGCTCTGATCAGGAGTGCATCCTGAGGGAGAGTGCAGCAATTTCAATAGGTACTTTATACATCCCAAAGGAATGTCAAAATAAAGCACATTTGTCTTTCCCAGTATTTTAGCCTTTGTAAATGAGATCTTTTGGCTAATGTTCATGACAAAAGAGCACTTTTAGGAGATGAAGTGTGTAACTACTCGTAGGTTTGCAATAAGGTTTTAGAAATCAGCTCTTTGCAAAAGTTGACAAAATTTTATGGGGAAAGTTCAGAAATGCAGTCCATGTCAGCCACTATTCCTTTACATGCAAACCATTCTGTTTGACAAAACTTGACAACCATAGGTAATAAACTTTGTGGTCTTCAATACCAATGCAGCAGAGACGACAGATGATGATTGTAATATACAGAACACCTAGTACGTAATCATATTCATACAGCTGAACATGATAACAAATATATATCTATGCACATGTATACAGACAAGTTCAGTCACCAGTAGAATACAAGTAGAACTTTTTCAACAGTCCACATATTGCTATTGCCTGCAGCACTGCAGTTCATGCTAAACCATTGCCAATTGTGCACACACCCCGACACTGAGATACAGGTGAACCCCTTGTAAATAACAGTGCTATGAATATAAAACTATGTCACCCAGCTCAGTATGAACTTTGACCCAACACTTGGAGAGAGCAAAAACTATTTTTTATGAGTTCAGCCAATAGCCAAAAACTGAAACGCTCCAGAATACAGATCAGGGCTGATAATTATGATGTTCACATGTGCATATAACCATGAGGAACCAGAATAATTACCTTTAATATTTTTGTGATGAGCAAAGTTAATAGCTTCCCTATTCTCTAAATTCCCAAAATATCACATTTTAGACCAATGCTTACTATGTTCAAGCTTTCATTCCTAAAAAATTCAGTTCTTTAGAAACTTTTTATCTATGCCAAAATAAACATCATTCTATACACAAGATAATAAAAAATGCCAACAATGGCACTTTAAATTCTATACCTGAGCAGGCACAATGAACATAATTCTAGGACCTTCTTTTGATCCTGAAAGGGTATACTTCATTTTTTAAAAAGAAATTTGAAGTATTTGCCCAAGTAGCATGCCCTACATACAATCTCAATAGAGATATCAACTCACCTTCAGTGCCATCAGACTTGTTTTCTGTTTTTCCATCACAGCCAATCTGAAATGATAAAACATGTTATGCACAATGTGTTCCTTACACACATGCATTCATCTCTGTATTGTATAAATACTAACAAAAGAAAAAGATTCCCGCAGGCTATCAAATAACAACAATATGAGATATAATTACCTGACAGAGGTTTGAAAGGGACACAACTGATACTGTAACTAAAAGGTAAATCAACACAAAAAAAGTTACATATTTCTACATCTAACTCTATGACGATATTGAAGGACATAAATATAAAACTAGATTATCATTACTCTAAAAAATATTTGTTAGTCTGGAAGAGGTTCATTGTTAACTTTCCCAGGTAAAACGAGACAGTACAATAAAATGCCACACTCCATTTCAACAAAACATTACATGGGTAACGCAAAGTGCAGCATGGAGACTTAACTCTCATAAGACAACTGCTGTTAACTGGTGAGATTAATGTCAGGAGATGTCCAGGGACAAATGCTCAAAAATGCACAAAAACCATTTCTTTACAGCATCATTCGATTAGTTTGAGATAATAGTCATTTTTTAAGTGATCAGAAAGTTAAACATTGTTAGTTTGTCTTATGACACAATTATTTCTTTTTGCATAAATCAGTGAAGATTTATAAATCAAAATGATATAAACAATTAAGTGCATTATTATTATGAATCAAGAAGCCAAAGGTGTCTACTTGACAACACGTCAGGTGGTGAACATCTCAAAACCTTCATGAAATACATGCTTTAAGTTAGTACTGTCTTTTTCAACATTCCTTATGGTTGATCTGGTTACCAAGACAAACAGCAAGAATGACACTGAAGAATTTTAAAATGTGCAGAGAGGGATTGGTTCTTTACATACACTCATGACACTTTGTACATATTATTAATACTTACTTTTTGCACAATTCAAAATACAAAGTTTAATCCTTTTTTTTTTTTTTTTGTAATATGCAGCCAAATAATATGTTTGGACTACCAATTTTCGCAGCAGATAGCTGGTAGGTAGTACATATGCCAATGTTTCTTCATGCATATATTTTTCTAACGAATGTCATAGCAAAGTTTGCCAAGTGTATCCAAAATCTCATGTATGGCAAATATGTCATAAGTTCTCATAACATTTCTCTTTAAAACAAAAAAATTATGTCAGCTATGTAAACACAAAATTGTTAATAGTACACTGCACCAAGTGTTGTTCAAAGGGGAGACCACTTGGGGCAAAGGTTTTTTTTTTTTTTTGCCAGTTGTGAGAAGTGTTCATAAAACACATTATTAAGTAATACTAACTCGATTACACTGTACTATTCACCACAAATTACACAGAATGTATGAACATGCGCCATCACAAAGACATAGTATGACATGCCCATGCATACAAGTTTTTCATAACATACAAAACAACTCAAGCAACATGCGTAACTTGATTTAACATCAACATATAATCTTGATAAATACATATTGCTATTATCTGACATAGAATCTATTTTCCAACTGTCAGAAAAAGAGCACACATCCTCAGTATTGCCAGAATAACCACATTCTACAATATAACACACAGTTTAAAGTTGGTTATACTGCTCTTTTTGAAATAGGCTGACAAAGTTCCATTTATTCAATGGTTTATGACAACACTACTTATTCAAATTCCATATTCTCTTTGGTTTATTGGATGAAATGGTTAGTATCTAAATTGTTAGTATTTAGTAATTGTGCAGGAAGCAACTGGTAATATTGCTACAGTTACACAGATAGGAAACAGATGATATTCCAAAACCAAAAATGTGTTTGAGTGCATTTACAGGGCTATGCCTTTGGATCACTTACCTTGGTGTAGATGGAGGTGGATGTTAGCTAGCTTAGGGAGAAAATGAGCAAACACAATGGAGAGCTGGAAGAAGCTATCAGACTAACCTGTGAGTTAAAATGCACTAAGTCTCCCACATTGGTAGTAGTAGTAGAACAGATACCACATCGAAGAAAACAAAGGACACGAGGAGGAGTGCTGGAAAGACCCTGGAGGAAAAGAGATGTGTGTGTGTGTGTGTGTTTGTGTGTGCACGCACAACTATTTCAAGCAAAGTTATGAGTGCTGCAATGAAAATGATTTTGTTAAAGCAGCTACTTCAACAAATTGCTCTCAAAAAGCATCTACAAAAAGAATGTGATGATATGAAGTTTATCTTTAGTTAATAAAACGTCATGAATTTGGACTTTTTCTTTCTGTTTAAATTAACTACACTTAGTAAATTAAACCACTCAAAATAAATATCATTTTGTATTTATTTTCACCATTTTGTATACTTATTGGTTAAGAATTAAGTATAAGTTTGAAAAGAATGTAGTTTGTATTATACAAGTAAAAAGTCTTTGAACAAAGTGAACAAAGCAGAGATAAAAGTCTGAACACAGCCTTACTCCTTTCTTGTCAAAGTTGTAAATGGTCTAGGCAGAGGGAAGGATTTTCTGTATTCCCCTTACTAGTAACAAAGCAAGTTTAACCACTAATTTATTTTTATTCAACATACATTTGCAAGGTTTGAGATTACTTTAACTTTTTTGATGCAAAACACACAAGAAAGGTATGTTCATGAAATTTTGTTTAGCATGAACAAAATCAAACAAATATTTTGAGAGTTCATTGTTTTCAAATGCATGGCTGTGCTCAAGTTTACTTTATGCAATTAGAGAAATTAACAAAAATGCACCAAAATCTGTTAAATGGAGTACTTGTTCACCATTAAGTGTTTGGATAAATTATGCTTTTGTTCATGATAAGTAATGTTATTGTTTAAATTCAGTATTAAATAAAATTCTATGTAATCTTGGCAACCAAAAAAAAAAAAAAAATTGTTTGCATGGTAAAGCTTACTTTGACAAGAAAGGTGGTCAAGATAACTTTTAAATAAAAAAAGTCTCATGCACAGTAGATAACTTTTAATATTAAACCATAACCTAGTTCATCGCATACCTGTAAAATATTTGTCTAAAATTATTCCATATCAAAAGGAAATATGTGTTTGTCCCCAATTTCCTGAACATTAACCAAAACAAACTACAATGTGATAGTATTTGTAGTTTTGAACTTGTATTAATTCAGAAAATTTCTACAAAATTCAAGAAATCATGATGGTGAATATAATGGTAAATATGTATGTAATATATTTATTTATAGAATTCTTTCACACGTTACCCAACACCAAGTTACAAACATCAGAGTGCATTTCTATATGCAACAGTATTCAATGGCCTACAAAGCAATATACATTTAGCACCTTTACTACCATTCTATGAGCCATAATTTCTAAACATTTAAAATGGATATTTAAGAATTACCATGAAAATATTTAGTGCAGTGAACAAAACTAAAAAGTAAATATTTAATACAATTTCTATAGTCTTCGGTTAGGCTCAGGTCTATTTCTTTTATCTAACTTTACATTTAAAACCAAGTAATTAAAAAAACTCGAGATTACCTCCTGTTTTTCGACAGCAGAGTTCCAGGTAGAGCTTTTGCAGGTGCCAGAGAGAGAAAATCCACAGGTCCTTCAATCTTGTTACCTAAAATCATGAACCAAATATCGTGATTATTATTGTTACCAAGTGTTCTCCTGGCATGTCTTAGTGCCAACAGCCATCAGCCTTACTGATAAGCTAGAAGGAAAACAGCCACAATATACCTGTTAACAGAAATAAACTTCCTTCAATAAACACTTTCATCAATGTGTGAAATATACTGATTGAACATGACAGTGAAATGGCTCTTTAGCTTTCACAACCACTGAAATCACCATCTGCATTTGTACAAAATCAGAATATTTACCAAATGATCTGTGAGTTGTATAAGACAAATCATCATGTGATCTTGTAATGCACAGTGAGGAGCTCTCTGTCGGATCAAAATTAGTGCCTGTTTCCATGGTGACAAACTATATGCTTATATATAAAACTGTGAGATCTCATATAGCAAACTTTCACAAGCAAAAATCAATGTTATAGGCTGTTTTTGTGTATGCATGTTGAAAGGTGATATTGTAAAAACATTAAACCTTTTATGTATAAGGGTGAAACTTAAAGAACTGTGAATTTTGTATGAGAAAGTCATTTTAATATGACATGCATAACATGGTTAATTGGTGCTGTTGTGCAAATAGGCTGAACAGAGCTCTAGATCACAAGTCATAAAGAAATCTGTGGATGACTGTTATCACCTTTCATTTAGCACACCAAATTGCTTTTGGACCAAATTGTCATCTAGTGAAAAACACCAGTTTATGAACTTCATGGCTAATCCAGTAGAGGAAGGTGTGCACTGACCTAAATCATAATATTATATAAGAATGAACTTTGTTGAATTTCATAGACATTTTCTCTAAAAAACATGACCTCACCTTCTTTGGCATATTTAAGCAGATGACAGGCGACGGCAAATTCTTCTTTGTCAAGTGTCCCACTGGCATCGTGGTCAGCCAGGTCCCATATCAGAGCTAGTTCACCCAGGGGAAGTCTGCTCTCCAGAAAGACTGGATAAGCACACTTACCTGAAAGTGAAGAAATAACAGACTTGCAAAATATTGCTAACTTCTCCCCATCAAAGTAAATGCAATAAGTGGCACTTAAAATCCGTAAAAAATGATATTTATTACTGCTTATAAAACAGCATCGTGCTGTGAACTGATAGATTTGTTCTCAGATTTATTCTAAAGAACTTCCATTGTGACCAAATACAGGAAATAGATTCATTACACCAAAAATAGCATTTTTTATTCACTGTTTAATAAAACTTACCTTCACAATATTAAATTGTTTATATATATCTAAACCTTACTACTTGTCCTATTTATCAATACTTCCTGATATTTATACTGAAGATAGACTGACTCTTCTTAGTTCCACTCTTTTATGCTTGCTGTGTCTAAAAACTAAGCTCAACATAAGCAGCAAATGTGATATATATATTTACTTTAGTATGATATTATACTCTCCAAATCTGAGGCATGCCCTGGGACAGTATAGAAGGTGGAAAAAAAGAATTGTTGTATTTGCTGCCTATGGTGAGCTTAACCTATCAGACTGGTGACAGGATCTATTTGTACTGAAAAGGGTTAGCCCATGTGCAATTTAAAAACAACAGTTTACTCTCTCTCACCATCAACAAAACCTCTATTTGCTGTGTCTTCCACACTGAACACAGCCTGATAGGCTGCCCTCTCTCTGTCTTCTATGACTGGAACCAGAACTTGTTGAACAGAGGGCAACTGGAGGAAATCTGGGAGCACTTTGGGCAGACTCTTGCCTTGAAGAAGTCCTTGGATCAGATGCATTGCTATGGTGAACTCAGCAACATCTAACATGTTGTCCTTGCCCATGTCTGCTAAAATCCTGAAGATATAAATAATTGATAAATCAACACAGAGCAGGTTTGATCTAGAAAAATACCGTGATTATATGTTTTCATCAAAAGTTTAAACATATGTTTGACCAAAAGACATCTTATAAGTATCTAAAATTGAGAACACTACCTAACTATCTGATTTGTTAAACTGTTTTTATTCCTACTAGACATTCATTTATCTTAAAGTCTTCCTTCTCTTTAGTCTTCTTTCTTTTCTTTATATTTTCAAATTTTAATTATAAAATTTTCAAATCTAGTATAAAGGGCCCTGTTGCACAGAAAATTTTTTAGATAAGCACAGATTGGAATGCAGACAACAAAGTCATCTTTGCAGTACTGACCTCAGAGAGTTTCAAAAATAGTTAGACTGATAAATGTTAGTTGTCTTCTAAAGATAACAGGTTAAATTACAATGTTGAACAGAAAATGGTGACAAGCAAACACTGCGTTGTTCATTATTTGGGTCACCACTTATCACTTGTCAGTTTCTTTCATCAATTATTACATGAATTGGTCAATTTTATACCATATTCATTGATTTTTACACTCACAACTTTTTGTGGTGTAAACAGAGGCTTACCTTGATAAGTGAAATGTGCATAAGGATGTTGAAATGAAACTAAAAAAAATTGATCTTGATCAATCAATCTGACATATGTCATGATATATAATACAAAAGGTATTTTCTATTTGGACCAATTTCATATTCTCAGTGGTTTTGTTCATGGGCAGCTATAGCTTTAGCCCACCTCTAAGTTTGATAACAATGTTGGACCCAGGGCTTACTTTTCAAGATTAAAAAAAGGACTTTTGATTCCAATTGAAATACATCTTAGTTGCCTTAATCATGATATGTAATTGATTAGAAATAAGACTTTGTGAAAACTGCAGGCCGTAGCCGTGGGGGGGGGGGGGGGGGTTCGCACGGGCGGACTCATATATTCTGACAGTCTTCCAAATTATATTTGTTGATCCATCCTCCATTTTGACCGTCTTCCGACAGAAAAAATTAGATACCCATCAATGTAAACTTGAAAATCTGACCGTCTTCCAGAAGACCCAGAAGACGGCCTAAATCCGCTCCTGGGTTCGGGAGGTTCAAAAGAACCCCCCTTTTTGCTGGGCAAAGGTCCCCTCTGGGTAAAATTTTATCTAGGTACAGGAAGATTTCATGGTAAAAGGGCCAGTTTTTCAGAAAGAGAACCTCCCTTTTGAAATTGCTGGCTACGGGCCTGAACTGTCTACAGGCTTTGCCAAGCCCACTGACATAGTTTTTTTTCTGTTGTGTAATGGTAATCCATAATCACAGTTTATGCATACATAATGTGTCCTGAACCCTGTTATACCATGCAGGGTCAACAGGACAACTCTTAGCTAATATGACCTCTCTTGAGATCTTGCTGTCTACTACAAACGACAAATTTTATACTACAGCATGCAATCCCTATTTTTCAACAGCTAATGCAGGGGTAACAATTTAACTCTTGACCATCAGCTAATTCTAAGATAAAAAAGATGTGCATCCTTGTCAACAATTTCCATTGTATTCAATATTGCGATTTCATCTTGGTTCAATACAAGCACAACTGAGGTGAAATGCTTGACAATGGCTCCCACATTTATCTGGAATCTATATACTGGTCAACCATACAAAATAGGGACTATGCCCACCAATCATGTAATATTCCAATGGAATTTTATGCAGCAAAATATTCAAGTCAAGCGGAAAATTAGAGGACAAAGTGACAGGCATGTGAAAACATTGTGCCTCTCCATTTGGTGCACTAGAGCACTGCTGTTGCCCTGACAGAGGGAACAGGAGAGCCCAACATTCTTTAATTTATTATATGTACTAGTATTCCTTTTTTAAGGTCAGTAACAATAATGAGCCAAGAAAGCCATCTTTCAAACAAGGTAAATGGATATAAGAAAATAAAAGATACCTGCAGCATTTTACAAACCCAGTGACCACATTTCTAACTGGATAATCATAAACCACCTGTGGATTCTCTTACAATGTATTTAGCAATTTATTTCCCAAATAGATGTCATCCAAATTACATGACAATCATAAACATTTCATTCAGCATGGGACTGAAAGCAGTTTAAAAAAAACACTTTTCATGAGTTATGGTAGATAATATTTCTTTTAGCAATGTAACTAATTTTCCAACATCAATGACAGATCACCCAAATATAACGTAAAAGAAAAATATAATAATAATAATAAAATAAAAAATAAATAAAAAATAAAAAAAAACACCTCTACCCAATATGTATGACATCAAGCACGACTTATTTCAATAATAAGGTCTGAGAAGGTGTTGCAAATCACATGCTCTTTCCTAAGAATTTTAATAACAGAGGAAGCGCCCTGATAATTGGTTTGGGCCAGTATCATACAGGAAAGCCTTAAAGTGCACAGACTAAATATATATATATTAAGTGTATGCTTAAGGCTATGCATGTCATCCAGTTGTATTTTACATAAACCATTTATGTCTTAATTATTACTGGACTTCTTAATTTGTCTAGTACACTGGTCTTCTGTACTTAGAATTCTCATTTTGTAAGCACAGTTATTGTAATAAGATTTAAAAAGTTGAATTTATATCTGCTAAAGGCTTCTAGCCATTTGAACCAGCACTTTAGCAAGCTCATTACTTGCCTGTGAAAAAGGAAACCAGTTTTTAAAATTACATAATATAATCAGTTTTATTTGCAGGACTCTTAGATGTAAACAGACCCCTGATTAAAAACAACATAAACACCCATACACTCCCTGCTTCTTTTCCTCGTCCTAAATTTGACACTTAACATGAACGATTCCCTCTTGAACTTATTTCTGTTCACTAATCTTCTATAGGTGTGTTTGCATCATCAACATACCACTAACAATGCCCTGACCTTGTTGTCTGAGCACCATGGCTGACAGATCACATTGTATGAACAGAAAGAACCAGTGCACACAAATCTGCTCTCTCAGTGGTGACCCACACTTCAAACCTTCAGTAATTTACTTAGAATTTTTTTAAAGCACCTGCTCTAATAGAAGACTTACAGGTAGACAGGGCATTTCATTAAAAAAAAATATCTATTAATATGTATTAGAATTACTCAAAATGATTGATACTTAAAATATTTATGTGTGTTTACGTGTGTGTGCATGTGTGCATGTAAAAAGAGAAACGATCCTTCAATGCCAGGATGTCAGGACACTTTACAAGAATTATCTAATGAGTACATTACGACAAGAGATATGACATTTTGTAATCAGACCATTCAGTGACAAAAATCCAGAAAATTTTATGAGTGATGTCCTACCTATGTGCCATGTCCTCCATTTTCCTTAAATTATTTAACATTTATGTGTATGAACACTGAATTCAATCATTTTCACTTGTTGCTATGATATACTGTATACATGGATTTTTTGATAAATATGATCCTGTATTTCAGGTCAATGTAATTCACAGAAGTCTGATTATTCTATAACTTTGTAGCCCACCAATATTTCAGTAATTTTTACTCCCACTGTTAAAAAGCAAACTGTACACTCATGAATGTGGTCTAACATTCTTTACTGGTAAATCTTGACACAAGAATGCCTGGTTTCTCAGCTGAGTTGACACCTGGAGGGTATACCTTTAGTGATTAGAACAAAGGAGGTGTTACAAACTCCTCCCCAAATGCACAGCCACCAGTGTATGTTATTAATTTCACCTCAATAAGCTGTCCATATCAACAGTACCCTTTCCTTATCAAACATGAGTATCTTTTCCTATAGGGAAACTTATTAAAAGTTCTAACAGAAAGAAAGAAAAAAGGACCACTTTATAAATTTCTTAGTCAGCCTTTTATCTTAACACAAAAGAAAACAAATTCCTAAAAAATAAATTAAGTTTTAAAAATAAATATCCTTTTCTATTGTTGTCCTCATTCCAAGTATCTGATACTTTATGCTACAGTGCATGTTTATTTGAACAATGTACTGCTGCTGTGCTCCAATTCCTCCGCCAAACTGCAGGAGCAGGTCAGGTATCAGCCTTTGACTTCTGGCTTATTATTAAATGACGGGTTTTTGAAAGTGAGTTCTGTAACAGTGGCATTTTCACTGTATAATGATTCAGGTGTGTAATATTATAAACTGGTTTGAATTATGGATTTCAAATCTTTCCATCATGATCATCTAGTGCAATTAAAACAAAAGCTGATATATATATATATATATATATATATATATATAACAAGTTCTACTAACTTTCTATTTTCTCTATAATACACCTTATTTGAATAAAACAGTGATAAAATCACCTGCCAGCAAATGTTTAACAGTAATGAGATGTTTTGTACATGTCTTGGCTGTTGTTTGATTAGTTTATTTACCCTTTCCACATAACAAGAGCAAAGTAACCCTAGAACTGTTATTTGAATAGTTCCCTTTCTACATAAATATTTGAAGAGAAAGGTGGTTACATAATTAGAATGACTTCCTCACTTGTGGAAAGAGCTTACATTTGCTTTTTAGTATGCTCTTGAAATTGCACCCTAAAATTCTTCTGGCGCATGATATTTTGCTTACAAACCAAGCCAGTCTATTTAACTTGATAATAAACCATGGCACAAAATCAGATGCAAGACACAGTAGATTTCATGCATTTTAAAATCTTATCATAAAATTTAAAAGTTTCATTAAACACTTAATAAACACAGAGATCAGCAGAAAGAGTTCACATGAAAATACAATTAAAATATGTGTTAGGCTTCTAAAAAAACTAATAATTGTGGTTTACTTACCAGATTTGACTTAACTTCAGCAGTGGCAGCTTTGACTGGAGGAAAAGATCACGGGTCTTCTCAGCTTTAAAAAAAAAAAAAAAAAAAAAAGGTTACTATGTTATTACTGGCAAAATATTTTAGACTGAGAATTTTATTGGTAAATAGATTAAACTGAAAATGTAAAAGAGTGGGTAGACTGTTTGTATCTTAGTATTATAATACATAGTTATCACATATCAGATAAAAAAGTAATATGTTAACATATATAATTCAAGATTTTTTTTATTATGGGACATCAAGGTTGCATGCCAAAAACTATCCATTTTAACACTTCAACAATCAATATATATAAAAACTTATTTTATTTTGGAACAGAATTATGTCTTATCTGTATATGAAAAAAAAAACATCAAGCAAAGTAAACAGAAATGAAAGTCAGAGTGCAGAAATGGGCAAAATGAAAGGGGACGGGGAATGGGACAGGGAGACGGACAAAACTGACAGAAGGGTGGAGACAAGGCAACATTTCATACTGCCCTCCAGTAATTCCTCAACCCCCATACTCTCTGCATCACAGCTTACAGGTACAGTTGCTAAAACAGACTATTTGTGAGCATATATATATATATATATATATATATATATATATATATATATATATATATATATATATATATATATATATATATATATATATATATATATATATATATATATCTGTAAAATATGCCCTACCTGGATCATGTGTTCAAGTGACCATTGCAGCTGTCATGACTACATGACCTAGGGCATTGGTGGTGTAGTTAATCATGTAGTAAAGCACAGCTTGTTATTTCCTTGACTATATCATGACAGCTTGTTCCACTGTGACATATGACTGCAGGGTGTGGCTTTTACTAAATCTGCACACAGTGCAACATATGAGACCTTCACTTTTTCTTTTGATTTTTAAAAAAAATTTTGAGGGGGATACACAAAATAATGTGTTTTTCTTGCTGATTCACGATAAACAATTCCAACATTGTTCTACTTTATCTTTTTTCAAAGTCCATGTCTTTGCGTGAATGCACAGCATTATATGTTTAGGGCATATTAATCTAAATGTCACTGTAAGTGCCCAAGTTTAAGAAAAAAAGGAAACAAAGGTGCAAGTGCATATATAAGGACCATTCAAAACTAAGGTGTAATATACAACTGAATGCGTGACACACGTTTACTAGTACTGAAGTGTCATTCAGTTTTGAGATGGTATATAGTACAGATATGTCATGCTGTTTTGAAATGGTATATATATAATAAATCAATTGCACATCTTGGTTTCTTTATTTCTCTACCTGCTAGATATCCCTCTACGGGTTCTTGGCTGTAGAACAGGTGCTCATGGCGGACTTGGTCTGCTAAACTAATAGGCCCCCACTCCTGGCCGTCTGACAAGGAGGACACTAAAGATAACACAATTTAAAAATGCTGACAGTTTGAATAAGCTTCAGATATTGAGACAGCAACTTTACAATAATGAGATTTAATATCTTTAAATGGGCGTGCTGTCAGAGACGCACGCGGTGTCCGTGAGAAAAATAGATTTTAAAATTGAAGTAATACATTAGTAAATGAAACTAAAGTCTGTAAGGAGTTCTACAAATTAAGAAGTATATTCCGTTATATTCTTTTCCCACTTTTTGGTCTTCTACTGTAATGAGTAACAATGATAATATGCTGTCGTTGTGACTTTAAAAGCCTAAATATAATAGAGCATAGTAAATAAGCAGTAATCTAAACAAGTTCACAGTCGACCTACCACTCATTTCACTGGCTTCTGTAAAACACCCAATATAAATATGTTACTGTATCCTGTAACGTAACATTTTTACAATTAGGAGCACAAGAGAATTATATAAGGCCTCGTAACTGCGATTACACCAAAAAGCGACAGTTTATCCATGACTTAGTCCCGATTGCAAGTGAAATTAGGTCGATCTCGTTTTTGACGAGAATACTAACGTGAGCTGATTGGAGGTCACAAGACTTGCTGGATGGAGTGACAATTTATTATTTGGAGATACATATAAAAGGATAAAATGAGTACATTGATATACAGTACTGGCAGTGGAATCATTGTCTTTGCCCTTATATTAATAGGTAAGTGTACGTCAGAAAACATGTCAACACTTTACTCTAAATGACGCTTGTCACCGGTGTTCTCTCTTCCTGAGAAAGAATCAATACAGTTTTTTCCTCTCAGTCACAGACCCATTTTACACTCCAGTTTTCATTCTTAAATCGGTTTTATGATGAAACATAAAATAAACATTGTGTATTACTAAAGGAATGTTTTCGTTTGCTGATTTCAAATATGTTCATACTCCATATTACCGAATTTCTGAAATGGAAAATTTGATAATACTAACACTACATGTACAAGTTGTAGCAACAAAATATATATTTCAAATATTGCTCACCTCCTCAAATAAATTAGCTAACAGAACTCTGTTGACAATCTTTTAAAAATTTTTCAATGATTATGGATTTACATGTTGCTCTTCAGCCACTTTGGCTCATATAATATCAATTAGAATAAATGAACAAATGATGCATTGAGCACAAAAAATGTTTTTACAGGCTCTCTAAACTAATACAGTATAGTATACAAAATTATATATGGAAGATAAGATCCCTTGCCATATATATATATTGGGTATCGAGAAAACAAAACTTGACAGTTTTGGTGACTTTGGCGTTTTACATTTTATTTTATCATTTCGGATCTTTCGCATTACTTCATTCATAAATTTAATAATGGCAATCAAATTTTGGGCAGAGGGTGGATTTAGTATGGAGAGTTGCATGCCTTTGCCAGTTAGATTACTTATACTGCTAGGTGTTCCTGATTCAGTTACACCCAAATGTTGGTTTAAATTTCATGACACGGCAACTTTACTATGACATTTGATCTAAAAGTTAAATTTCATATATATCAGAAATTAATGTAAAAGATGAAAAACGTAATTAACATTTGTAATAATATATCTGTTTGTGCAAGTAATAATATTCTTAATTTTCTACTGTTTTAAAGGGCTCTACTACTGCTTATCAGACCAGGGATATAGATTTGACATAGGATGGTATGTTTCTCCAGGGTTATATAATATTGTCATTATCATGAATAGTCTGCATCTATCTGTAACAGTTATAAACATGATTAGTAAATTTGCTATATAACAGACCAGTTTGTTTAAGGGGAGATAAGTGTAATCAAATACAGTTTTCTAAATTAAAGTTTGATAATTTGAGTTAATTCAATTGTAAAGAAAGGAAATATTCACATTGGGTTCTGTTCCAGGTTTCTAAGTACTACCAGTCCTGTGATGTGGGGAGGGCTGGGCGTGGCCTTTGCCATTGCCCTCTCAGTAGTAGGGGCTGCATGGTAAGAGAGATTAGTTCACAAAATTGTAGCCAATTCATCATCATATCAGGGAAACTTTGCTTGCTTTTTAAATTGGAAGAAAGACATATAACAGTATATTAAAATATAAAATTGAATTTTCTCATTTTGCAAATTTTTTATTTAATTATTTCATAAGTGAATAGATGTAAAATATTTTTCATGAATATAAGTTTGAAACATGACAGAATTAACTTTTTTTTTTCTATAGGGGAATTTTTGTCACTGGATCTTCTATAAATGGGGCAGGAGTGAAAGCACCTAGAATTCGTACCAAGAATTTGATCAGTATTATTTTCTGTGAAGCAGTGGCCATTTATGGAATTATTCTAGCTATTGTCATGCAGAATATCATTGAAGTAAGTTTTTGAACTACATTTTAAAGTAATCATTAAGTTTACTTTTGATGAAATTAATTTTATTTAGAGTTTAAGATGGATTATGTTAAATCATGCCAATATGTACTTTGACAAGTTATATGAAATGTTTCGGGATCTCAGTGGAGTTAATGGGAGGGATTGTGTTTTCAACTTTTACTCTATATTTTTTCATTCTCTGTTCCAATTTCTTATAAATGTAGTCTACTGCCACATTGTAACTTAAATTTATTTGTTTTCAGGGGTATACACTTCAGGATATTAAAGTTGTTATAGCAAACCACAAAGCAGGTAGGTTATGATACAACNTGTTTGAAAACCAATGTGATTGTTTTCTGTTTTGGAGGCAATGCAGGTTTATAGAGTGCTATACTGGCATTTTCAAGTTTTGACTTATCACTCCCATCTGCCAGGAGCCCTGTACTCTTACTTTGTAACATTTTCTGTATTTTGTTAAGTTACAAGAATGATTCTTAGGATTGACATACAGCCCAAAAAAAAAAAATTAATTATATATATATATATATTATGAGTTTAAGCAATTTGTTTTTGTGTGTGTAATTTTCACTGTACCTCATTCTGGCATTTCCAAAGTTTAACTCTTATCAGCCTGACACCTTAGGGACTATTTCCAGACCCTATCACGCTAACTGTGGATCGATCTATCTCCATGGGAATTCTCGCTAAATTGCAATCAATGTAAGTGGCTTAGTTGTCTCTCACGCCTACTGAAACTGGCATGCCAGAATCCTAAGACTCTCAAACTGAAAGCAATTTAGTGAGAAACCCCTTGGAGTTGGATTGATCCTGTTAGATTGATCTAGGTATGGGAACTTAGTCTGATGCTTGATACACATTTTACTTTCATCCTAATCCAGTGTTATGCAGAATAAGAATTTGATGTTGGCTATGCAGTTACAGTAAGCATAATACATTAGTTCATCAGAATTGACAGTATCCTATTTCCTGCGTTTTTATTTTCTGGTTTTTGTCTGTACATTTGACAGCTTTGCTGCCTTGTTCAAATTGGAGAATCGTTGTCACCTGTTAGAAGTTCATAGATTCCCTTTTCCATCTTTGTATCCCAAGGTGGCAGGATTTGGAAAAGCTTAGTGTAGTTTTCAATGTACTGTTCTTAACCATGTGGTTCTGCTTCTTTTTTAGGTTGCTTCAGCCAAGATGGGAGACCAGGTTTCATAATCCAGCACTGTGTAAGTTCCAGACTGTAAAATTATGAAACGGTGAAGACTGAAACTTAAACCAAGAAAGATGGACGCTGTACATGTGTAGAAAAACTGACCCAAGATATGTGTTAAATGACTTTGAAATATATTATATTCACTTAGGTAAATGGTAAAGGTGCTGTCGTCAGTAAATGTGACTATTGTGTTTCATGAAATTATCCATGGTGAAAGTAATGGAATAGAAAGGAATGGTTATTAGCAGAAGTACATCATGGACTTTGATTACATATTCTTTTTGAAACAGCTGGCTTTAATATTGTAAATTGATTGGAAATTGCTTTATATGTTTCCTGACTGAAATTGTGATTAATTATTTGTTTTTGAAGTCTTTGTTTAGCAAAGCTCCAGTGTAAATGTATATGTGTTGTAAATAAGAAATCTTCACAGTTAGATTAGTGGGAGGTTGTAACATCCCTGTTTTGATGTCACTTGCAGAGATAAGTGGAAAGATGTTGCAAAACAGAGTATTTAATATGTACCAATATATAAAGTCTCTATGGGCAGATTGGAAATAAATTGTTATATCACCTTGGAAGTCTTGATATATGTGGATTGATTTCCAAATGCATTTTCAATCAGAGTATGCCATATTAATTGAAATTGTTTGCTGAGAATCTATTCTTGATTTTATTTACATAAAGCATATAATGTTCATTTTTCTTCTAAGACTTGATGTGAATGACATTGTGTTAGGTAGCACAGTCACTTGTTTGCTTTAAGTAACAAGGCTTGCAGATCTAAATTAGAACTGAAAGGTTTTCATTCATTATAAAATAAAAAAGGTAAAATATTGGTACATAGGACCTTTCTGTTTGCATTATTGTGTCACTGAATTAACATGCCGAATTTCAGCACCCAGTTTGTGTCACTAGTTCTGGAAACACTTTCATCTCTAAGCACCTCGACACTAAGGACCATTATTTATTTAACCTGTTAGTGCTAATTGTTAAAACTGACTGTCATTTTCAAACTGCTGTTTTCTTCTGTAAAAAGAATTGGATTTCCTTTCTTCACTGAAATCTTAAGAATATGATAAACTCCACGTCTTTCTTTAATAGCTAGGTAGTTTTGTACCTTGGGGAACCATAGCGTTCTCTCCGTAACTGATCAACTGTCTTTTCCAAGTCCCTCTGAAAGGAATTTTTCCAGTAAGCCCGTTTCATATTTGGTGGGCTTCTTGTATTGGTACGTCTGGAGTGTTTCTTTGGCTTTGGTGATCCTTGGGGATGTGGAACACTTATATGACTGGTTCCTGTTCCCGTAGTACTTGTCCCTGCTTTTGGCTCTTTGGAAATTTTTGGAATAGAAGGTTCCTGGTAGATATCTTCTCGCATGAGATTTTCTGCTGTTAGGACTTCAAACTTGCCAGACTGAAATTTAAATATGGACATTTTGATTTCTTTGGTAATTTTGAAAGGAATAAACATTAGTATATGATTTAATAATAATCATATATTAAATGCCTTTGCAAGTGAGTCAAATGTAATTTAAAACTGAAATTATATTTATGCCATATTTATATAGTAAATTAAATTTTACCCTGTTTAAAGACTTTGTGTCATATTCATCATATGAGGTATCAGGGTCTTCTTTTACCATCTTCTGGATTTTTTTGCAAATCACACTGCCGTCTTGGTGTTCTGTGAAGCTGTTGAGTATCATAATACTCTAAACAGATCAAAGGTATGAATTTTTAATTTACTATCTGTGACCAAAGTGCATACATTTGTGTTTAAACAGTGCCTTTGTATGTTAATTTTTTTTGACTGCATGTTGGAGTAAATAATAAATTTACATAAATTCAGGATGTTATTAACAAAATAATGTTTTCATCAGATTAAACTCTGGATGTTTAACAATGTAAGGACTTGCAACTGACTGTAGCCTAAACAGAAAAATTATGAGATGCTAGATACGCTTGGAAATGACTTTATTCCCTATCAGGTACACCACTTGACCTACCAGGTAGAATCCTACTGCTGACCCTATAGCATACCCAGCTAATATGTCTGGCCAGTGGTTTCTGTGATGACCTATCCTGGACAGACCAGCCAACAAAGCAGCAATGATCAGTGACAGTGTGAAGAAAGGGCGTAGGAGTCGTACTTGATGTGTGTTAATAGAATTGTGAATGTACACCTGCAATTGATGAATGGTAGAACTTGTTTTACGGATTCCAGTGAAGAGTAATTACAAATGCAATGAAAATCACTTTGTTATGCATGTATGAGAAAAAAAATTTAAAGTCTTAAAATATCTTAGAAAATTGTCATTGTTATATATTTGACAAGTTTCAAAAAGAATAATGTTGTTTCTAAACCTATACTTACGGATGTGAATACTGCAGCAAATGAGGTAACAGATGCATGCAATGATGGAAAAGACAACCTAAAAGGCAATAATGGGATTTCCATAATGGCATGTATGCCTGCTTTTTTACTGCATGTACATTTCTGGCATGCCCTCTCTATAACGTTATCTTTAAAAAATTGATAACTACTGGTTGCAAATGCTTTCTATAAATTATACAGATACAGATAAAAATCAGATGAAGCCCTTATGCCAGGGGAAAAAATCCACAAATCATGGTATGACCCCTGTTATCCTTTAAATTGTATATCACTAACAAATTATAAATACAGTAAATGTAACAATAATTATATTTTCACATAAAGTCATAAAATGTACTAGTATGCCATACCTAGCATCTCTTAGCATTTCAATATTTTTCTCTGTGCATACTTCCAGACCCACATTATCGCTAGTACAATTCTTGAGTGGTTTACATACTGCCAGGAAGTTGGGTCGGAGTGTTCCAGCCATTGTCTTGGTCACATCTGTCACAACCATGGTGGCTAAACACCCAAACATGTGGACTCCTGAAATGGCCAATTTTTGGTGAAATTGCTGACAAATAAACCCCCTGCAAGACTAAAATATAGAAGAAATTGTTGAGGATCCAGAGACAATTACTACTGACATCAGAATGATCTACAAAAGACGTTAAAATAATAATTTAATAAATGGTCCTTGGTGCATTTTTGAAATTACCATTAGACATGGAATGTTTCAATCTTTTCTCTTGACAGATCAATGTTCAAATTATCATTTTAGTGATTCACAACAGTAGGAAATGCTTATAGGTATGTGTAACAAACGCATATAAATACTTAACCAAACTTACATTTTAATACAAATTATATCTTACCTACAAACCTCAGCATGCGCCTGAACATTTGAGGCAATTTAAACTGTTTGCACATGGCATACACAACTTTGTGCTCTCTGCCATTGAGTAACCACATGGCAGACTCACCAATGCCTATCTGAGGAAATGTAAGTTAAGATCATAAAAAATATCATAATTATACATTAATGTTCCCAAGCTGTTCTTAAATGCAAGGCTACATAGTAGTGAATAGTTCTCACTTACAGTACATTAAATATTATTTTTGACTTGTATTGACATCTTTGAAAAAAATCAATTTTCATAACCAGGAGAATTCTATACAACCACGCAAAACTAATACTAGTGATAAACAACATGCTCCTATTTGGCTGTAGGATTCATAAAGATTTTTATAATTAATCTAAATAAAATGAAATAAAAAACAGTGCTTTCAGTGTGGGTGGAGGGGGGGGGGAGGCAGTAGCTAGGTTTAAGATCTGAAGCTCTTATGTTCAGAGGTGCTTTTAATTGTCCTTGATCAGTTCAAAACAAGGCAGTTGCTGTCAGAAAACGGCTAATTTTTAGCCAGTGAACCTTTGGACTGTCTGGAAACACCATTCCCTGGGGATGTGCGGCTTGTACATCTGCTTTAATATCGCATGTCACTGTTCAACAAAGCAACCCTACTCACCATTATAGTAGGTATCAGAAAACAAGCTCCTAACATAAGTGCCTCTGAAACATTTGCCTCCAGAGCAAACTGAGAGAAGGCCTGTCTGCCATCAACTGCATGTGATATGCTGGGGTCTAGACAAGAGAAATTCTGCTGTCTCACTGGAAATGCTGTGGTCCACCTAGCGACAGATGTTCGGCAGTAATTATTTATAAAATTTTATAACAATAAAAGCTGAATATGATTTTGTTCACCAACTACCAACTAGGTGAAACTTGACCACAGCCTCAAGGTCAGCAGGCTGTCACAATTTTATTGACGTAATTCAATAGAAAATATGCAAGTTCAATATGTTAAAGAAAAGTTGTAGTATACTATAGTGTTGACGTTATTCATACCTGAGGAAGTATTCCAAAATGGCCACAAACACCATAATTAAAAACTCCACAATGAATATGAAGATTATGTAGGTATTGACTCTCTTGTGACTGGTAGTGTAGGTGGCAGTGTCAGAGCTGCTGTCTGCATTATCATATATCCCCATACTCTCTCTGTACTGCCTTAGCAGGCCCTGGTACTTCCCTAAACTGGCAGTAAAATCAGATGGGAGAGAACCCTGACGTAAATCGTGAGACTGAGTATGACGGACCATTTAGCCCTGCAAAGATGGTTTAAGATTTCAAAATGAAATTTTACAATAATTAAAAAAAAAAATTGTTTGTCAAACGATAAAAATTCAGTGCAATCTTTGCACATGGTGCAACTTTGTTACTGAAAATATAGGCCTTCTTAAATGTTTATGCATTTCATATAATGCGCTATGGACCATATAGTTACTGTATTAATTTTAAACATATATAAAACACTTGATAGAATTAAGTTGTACTTACAGTCCTCAGTATGTCTTTCCTTCAGAGAGATTCCTCATTGTCAAAAATAAATTCAAGTCACCTGATTTTAGCCTTCATTTTCATTTGTGATAGAATGATGGAGAATATGGCTGCCTATGAGAACCTTTGGTATGCAGCAACACCCTGGTACATACTGGTGACAGTTGGTCCATGCTCTGAGACAGCTCGTTTTGCTTAGAAATACATAACACCAGCTGGTCAGAGGAGTGGTAATTTTGTTGTAATAAAAATTGTTGTAATTTTTGTAATAAAAATCATACGTCTCAGTAGTGGGATTATGATTAAACTTTTGAAGTGTTTATGACACAGAATATTATTGATTACTTCTAGGTGGGGTGAAAACATTCATGTAAAATTGAATAGATATTAATTAATACAAAATCAATATCGCTCATTAAATTCCAGTAAGGTCTTTGGGATGATTGAGACTGTTGGACAGAGTTACACAGGGATTCTGGGGATGGGAGATGACAGTCTCCAATAAGGGTCAATTGAAATTCCCTTGGGATGCCTTGGGATACGATCCACTGGGATTGGAATTGACAGCCCCTTGGATATAATAGGTGGTGATGGCCCCAAGGAGTTGACAAGTTTGGGAACTGACAGTTATCAACAGATATAATTCTTATACTATAAAAACCAAGAAAATAAATTCACAGTTTTTATTTGTAATTTTCACACACCTGAACAAAATGTTACACATAGAATGGTTAAACATAATTGTAAGTTAATGTGGGTAAGTAATCATTACATGATTTCACCTACTTTTTATGTAACCTTTAAGATTTAAACAACTAAATCAATCGCTACTTATTTATTTTTTTAAATTCTCTAGACAGAGCACATAATACAGAATTATGTCAACACTTCCATGCTAACTAATGGACAACATAATCTTGAGGCTTATTAGATTATCTTAAGTTTTATAAAATATATAAGATACAAAACAACATTTAGAGACAACAAAGATATGACAGAAAATTGTCCTTATACTGGATTGTTCCTCTGTTGGGACGCAAAGAATATGTTACTAGACAAAATATGGTTTTACTGGCCAAATAAAAAGTACTGTTAAAACATCTTTTCTTAAAACATAACTGTCATTATATCATATATACATTGTCATGTCAAAAAATATATAAATGTATGTATAAAAAATCTGTAGACTATGTGTATAAATTTATCTTTTGGAAAATTGGGCAAGAGCCAAGGAGTGTCCCCTCATTTTCAAAATAAAATGGAAGATTCAGACAATCTTTTTCAAAGGGGAATAAAAGTAAAGGGAAGACAAAGGCTGACAGATTCATTGTTCATGCATTGAAAAAAAAATGCACCATTTTGCAAATTTGTTAAACCAAGAAAGTGGACTGGGGGCAGTGAGTAATAATAATATTAATGATAATACTGACAATAATGAAATTATGATAATAATAACAATCATATTTTTGATTTTTTACATCCAAAAGGAAAGAGTAACCCTTCTTGTATAAAAAAATCCATAAGCAGTAAATCAGATAAGATTTGATAAGTAATTTTACATTTTCATTAATTCTACTGAAATTTAAAGAACAATACAATTTCCAACATTTATAATCAAGTGTTCCATGTTACATATCCAGCTTCATCCCTTGCATCCTCATAATACCGTTTTGGATAATATTTGCCTTTAACCTTATGGAGTGTAGCACCTAAAGCATTTTCAAGTAGTGGTGTTTCTGTGACAGGAATTGTATCCATCTCATTAGGGTCATCATTTATGCTTCCCTTTTTAACAATCTTTTTTTCCTTGTCTAGAAAAACATAAGGCATATTTTCAAAGCATGTATTGCCATTTGCATGGGCAAACTTTGAGTATCCCTCCTTGGGGCATGTTTGTGGAACACAACATTGGGGGTAGTTAGTAAGTGCCTCTGATTTACAGAATGCAGAGGCAGCAGAGCTTGTTGATTCAGACTCCAGTGCACAGCTACCTCCACAACTTTCTTTATCTGCTCCATTATCATGAGTAGGGACTCCTGACTCCTACAAGGAGAGACATTTGCAGTTGCTTATACATGTATCAACATCATTTCAGTAGTTATGTAAGTAGCATACTTACTTTGTAGAACATTGTAGCCATTGTAAAATATTCTGTAGGAACTGATCCTTGTTGAGAGACACAAACTGATTTTATATGTTTTTTTTTTTAATTAAAAAAATACAGTTACAATTTTTCAAATGATAAATCATGAAGAAGAAATATATCCTTTTTAGATCTAAGATTAATCTAAGATCAACAACTTACTGCATTACTACTGCATTCTGTTCTGTAGCTGGAATAACCTGATGATCCATGGCCATTGCATTTTTCATAATTCTACAAAAATATATAATGTATTACTTTTTTTTACAAGTGTTTATCTAATTTTAATTTCATTAAATTGTATTTTGCTTACAATCTTCCTTTTGGTATAGAAATGGACAACATTCAATTTGTCATTTGTTCTGTCTGTGGTATTCCATAAAATTAGAATTTTGACTGGATAAGACTTATTCATGTACTCCTCTCCCTAGGTAAATGTGTAACAAACTCAAATATTGTACTTTCATATGACAAGAAAGGAAAAGGGTAAAAACACTCTTAAAGAAAAAAGAAAGGGTTCTAAGACTTACTTCTTCAAGAAGCCATAACTGTTACAATAATATTATAATCATTGACAACATACCATTTATATTTGAAAAAGGTTGGACATAGAATATAAATGACTGTCTGGGGGGGGGGGGGGGTCTTTCAAATCCTATGAATATCTCTGTCCTAACCTGTAATTAGGTCAAATAGGATCTACTACATCAAGATGTAGTGAGGTAATCAATTAGTTATAATTGTCTTTATACCTGGAATGAGTACTCCACCACCTCAGGGACTGGTTTGGGTACACTGATAGGGATTAAGAAACATTTCCTTAAGTAATGATGGAATCTGAAAACAAGAGAATAATTCTATGTAAAATGTATATTTGTCTATGTTTAAATTAAATATTAAGACAAATTGGACAAATATCCGATATAGTGTACTGGAAGTAGGATTAAAAGCTGATAAATTAAATACTAGGAGATGCTGAATGATCATCTTTTAATCAGGAAACATGTATTTTCTGGGTACAGATCTGCACATCTAAACTCATGAGGTGCACCTAAATATGCAATCTTTATAATGTACATAGGAATTTACAAAATTTGTGGCATGTGCAGTGCACTTTATAGTCTCTAGTCCTTTATCAATTATGTATGTACACTTCTTTTCAAGTCAATGTTGGTTTTATATTAACAAATAACAAATATTCATTGAAGAGCTTTATATAGACAAAAGAACTATAGTACATACTTGCTTCCCACAACAATTGCTCCCAAGAGAAAAAGTAAAAATACGACGAAGGTTGGAATGAATACACTGTCAAAAGGTATACCTGGGAAAAGAATACGCATTAGAATTAGAATTAGCATTCATACGTTGAACAAATGCATATACTGAACAAGTTATAGATAGTTATAATGTAATTGATACCTTAAAATCCTAGAAACACTTAGTCCAAAAAAAAAAATAAAATAAATAATAATAATAATAATAAATAAATAAATAAATAACAAAAACTGTATAGTGACCATTTGCATTAGGTTGATAGCTAAATCCTCCAATTACTTAATTAAAAAACTTTTTCTCAAGCTGACCTTTGTGATAGGAACACGTGAACTATTCCCAAGAGCAACTGAGTGTTATATGTCTGACTTGTGTTCCAAATTAGTTGGCCAAAAGTGAAAGTCACATATAACACAGAAGAAAGTACAGGTAATGACATTCATTATATGTGGCATGGCCAGGCTCAACCATTCAAAAACTCACTGGTCTGAGCCAGTTACAAATTAAAAGTGCAGATCCAAGTTCGTTAGTCTGTAACCTTTTTTCTTTTTGTTATTATTCCAAGTTTTGCTGGGAATTGTTAGCAGAGGGTAAGTTCAGTGATGCTTTTAGTGTTCTTTTGGCAGGGTTATAATACTTTTAATCAATGTATATATTAAGTAAAATTTTGAGTCCATATTTCAATTTTTAGTCAAATGTTCTTTCAAAAGGACACACCATCAGTTTGCAGAAGATATATTTCAACAGTGTTTTACTGCAAAATCACAATTTGTATACTTTGCACATCATACCTACCATAAGTGCCAATGAAACCAACATGAACTGTTGTTGCCTCACTCCAGAAGCCCCCCATATTTGGCTTGCTGCACACAGTGATTGTGTAAGCATAGACATCTAGATGCAATGCAAGAAGCTCAACGGATGCACTCTCATTGGAGAGGGCTGTTATGTGGTGACTCTAGAAGCAAAAAGAAATATTGCAGTAGTAAAGACTGAAAGATTTACGCTTTGTTTCTTTGTAGTGTCACTAGTATTAGTTGTAAAGGGTTTACGGGTATTGTAAATTAACCCTTTATTATCATCCAGATACTGAAAATGAGTTTTTTTTTCTCCATCTAATTATTCAATAATGCATCTGTCTTTGTGCTGATTTAAAACAATGTATAAGCATATGCAACTCAAAGCTTTAATCCTCAATTTAACACCTTTCTATTTTGAGGTGATATATAGCAATCAGTATGGGGTGTAACTTAATCCCTGAACAAGATTTTATCACAGAAATTGGCAGAGTTGACCAGGCATGTATAGGCTATACAATCCAGTGCCATCATTTTGGTTTAAATGTTTTTATAATGGAGTTATGAGCCCCAAATTACAGATTTTCATTAAATAAAGGCATTAGGGAAAATCGCTGGCAGGGTTTTGGAGTACAAACTAGTTTCATTAAATGGGTGTTGAAATTGTGATTGTGAGTGCTCAGGTAAAAGTGAAATTTGAAAAACCAATTTTTCAGTTTTTGCCCCAAAATCGCAATTATGACGCCACCCATCAGATGACATACATATATGTGTAAATGTCCATTAATTTAGTCATTGAACACTCAAGATTTATTTATTACTCAAAAGAGTGTAATAGTATGTAAGGCAGTACGTACGTAAATAAGGAGTTTTGGGTGAAGGGTGACAATATATACAATTAATGGTTGGCCTGTCACTTTGTTTATTTTTAAAATTTTATCAATTTTTTATTAATTAAAAACAACAACATGTACCTGTAATCCAACTTACCTCCAGGGGCTGTCCAGACAGTAGAGATATGTTAATCTGATAGTCTAGAGGCACTGGATGCACATAAGAAGGAAAAACTGGAGGTTGCCAAGACAGTCGAGGGGCAACAAAAATAATGTCATTGGATGGAATTGGTGCAGGTTGGACTGGAATAGTAAAACAGAGGACTGTTTGACACCATTCAGATAGACACATTGTACAAGTTTGGTAGGCCCAAATCTAGGGGGGGGGGGGTTCTTGTAATCAGTGTCAATTGTTTGACACTCTTCCTTGAGCAGCTAGGGGATAATTAACCCAGATACAAACTCCCTAGTTGCTCGAGGTGTGTCATTCAGTTGAGCTGATTGCACCTAGCAAGAACCCCTGCAGAGTTGGACCAACCCAATTAGTATGTATCTATCTAAATGTTCTCTTAGTAGTGCTCAATATTTCTCAACTGGGACTGGTTCACCATCAAGGCAGTTGCACTGAAATATTCTCTAGTCACATTCCATGTAAAGATATTAAAATAGCCTTCAACTTCTAAGTTCTAAGCTTGAGACTTAAATATGCATGGTGATCAAACATGCACTTCACCAATGAATCCAGTGGATTATAATAATAATAATATGTATTGTAAAAATAATGAGAAAGTGAAAGCTGTATCCGAAAAAGGATATATTATCACATATTTCATCAGCAGTGAGACTTCACTGTTTATAAACAGTAAATTATTAAGTAAGTAAATTATTATTTTAAAAAATATAAGAATTAATAAAGATGAAACATAGTGTTTACCCAGGCTAGCATTTGTATATACCACCAACTGGTCACTTGAAGCTGTCCCTAGGGCATTTTCTGCTTGAACCTTGATCCATATCATATCATTGATCCACAGGGTGTCAGAGCCATTCTCTGAACTGGTGGTCCAGTTGCAGGCTGGGACACTGGGTTCTGGGTGCTTGCAGCTACTCCAACTGGAAATTTAATGTGAGAGCACATAGGATTGATATCACCTTAAATGTGCAGTGATTAATGCTGGTTAAAAAACAAAGATATTACAGATTGTCATGCTCACAATTCACAAATATATATTACATTTTCAATGTAAAGGTAATTAAGTGTGCTTTTTTGTGTATTGCTTTTATTAATATGGCTGGCTGATTTATGTACAGTTATATGTCCCTTACTTATGATCAGATATTCTTCTTTTCCAATAGGCATTCCAAGTTGTGCTGAGAAGAGGGTTTCTTCCTTGATTCCAAGAACATGACAAAATTTCAAAGTTGTAGAAGACACACTTTACATCTGTTGGTGCATCTAAATCTGAAATTGGGAAACATCTAAATTAGATATTAGGTATACAGGTGTGTTTATGTTGACTTCTAAATTTCTACTAAATAAAGCAAACAAAAAAGGTCAGTTATTAAATCCCTGTAATGCACAGTTTCTTAGGTCTATGTAAATAACTCAATATTTTCAAAAGGGAAATTGTGAATTTTACAGATACTATTTTTCTAAGTTATAAATTCTTAGAATAAGGTTCATACTATTGAGTGGCAGCAACAAAACTGGAAAACTGACTACCTCACAGTTACACTTTAAACAGTTAAAGCAACACAAATGCAACACAGAAAAACACTTCTAATATTAATATTCTAAAATTATGTATCTGAAATTAAATAATTTTTCCCCATGGAAAATACAGAGTCATTACCATATTTTACAGACAGCTGACATACACAGCTAGGTATGACAGTTTGCCCTCTGCATGACTCCAGATCATAATTATACAGATACACTTGCAAGGTAAAAAAGACTCTTAATTTTTGCCTCATTGTGCATTACATAATATTCTTTGGAAAAGGAGGTGACTGGGTCAGAATCACATTCGATCCCTTGAAATAAGTTATAATTATCTTAATAATCACATCCCTGTTATAAGAAAGATAATAAACAAAGAATATTCAAGCTGTGCATTATAAAACTAGTCTGGCAAAAAGGAAAAAAATTAACAATGGTATGGCATGTCTTATGGTCTGTCGATTAAATGTCAGGCAATAAGAGTCATGCAAGATTAAAAAAGGTCTGAACATTAATGAAACAATGGATCAAATCAGCTAAAGCTAACTGGGAAGGCTGTGATATAGACAGTACAATCATTACAAACAATAACAGACACCTTGAACCTATAGAAAAATTAGGATATCATATGATACAGTTGTTTTTGCTCAAATACAGTTCTAAATTTGCATTAAACATGGTACTGAAATATTATAAAGAAACATTAGACTTTAATTTGATCATTTTTTTAAAAGATAGGTGTCTGTAAATGAACTTTAAGCACTTACATCCCACAGTAAGTAACTGCCCCCCTTGCAGTGTTTTATTATAGAAGCACTCATACTGTCCAGCATCTTCTTCCTGAACGTTTCTCACTTGTAACAATGCTGTTGTTTGGGAAATCAGCTTCGGGTGAGAGTCCAAACTTGTTCTGGGTCTCAGAAATTCAAGCAGTTTCAGGTTTATCTTATCTGTATCATCTACAGTACAGGTTAGATTCAGAGTAGTGCCAATCTGTAGAATGGGGTCCCTAGGTAGTACCCTGGACACTAAAGAAAAGTGAGAAAATGATGACAGATACCACTGAAAATTAAAGATCCACTAGCTATTTTGGGCTGTAGATGAAATCTTGTTTCTAATATGTTATAAAAAACTGACATTATTAAATTTGTACTTTTTATAGTTAGCATGGTATTCTATCTGATAGGCATTATATAGGGATGATCTTTAATTCCCCTTTTTTTCACATTTTCTTGTGAATTCATAATGTGTCAGTTTGATTACAAGAATTTTAAATACTCAGATTTTAAACATGAAGCCTGTGGACAGATTGATCCTGTAGAGAACAGCTTGGTCCCACTTATTTACACTTTCACAATTGTACGTGCTAGGTGTTTTGTACAACTGTAAAGTGTATTAAGGTCAGCTTATTTGTAATAAATTGTCTCAATCTTGATACAGTCAAATATATACATAGCTCAGAACTGATACCATGATAAAAGCTGCACATGGCAATGATATATTAAATGTTGCTCTTTTTACTTGCCTAAAATTTTCTTAATAGAGTAGCATTGTAATATTGCATTTGTGTAGATTTCATTTTTGTCACTATTAGTAAATCTTTGTTAAATTAACCCATGTATTGGCCTATATTCAGAAATGTAACCCACCTGAAGATTTGACCCAGTAAAGTAATAATATTGATAAAGTCCTCAAAATCCACCTTTGCATTCTGTTAGAGCTGCATACGCCTCCTATTGCTGAGTTGTTGTTGACTGTTTGTCCAAAAAAAAAAAAAAAAAAAATACACTATAGAACTAATACCAAAAATGAACTTAAAGAATAAACAACGGATGCAATTAATGTTACTGCAATACTTGAGTTTTATATATTAAGGCTTTCAGAGATTCACTGGATCAATGCCTTGTCAAAATCAATCACACAAAACTGAAAAAGTAAAATATTCAGTTTAAAAGCCAACACTTAAATATGAAGCTCTCACAAAGCACTACAAAGCAAGTTAATATATATGAATATGGATAAATTAAGTGTATTGTAAGTGGTAAAGTTGATTTTAAAAACTTTAATTTGAGTCACATCATGCATTTATGATGCATTTAGTTTTTAAGTTATTAATAAAATTTCTTTACCTTCAACTGTCACATGCTGTTCTTGGTGTACTTCATCTGAGGTACGTCACTGGATGTCAACTATAGAAAAGACTTGACTTTTGTCCATCATCTGTGCACTGTGTTAATGGATGGTCAATACTTCAAGAAGGCTTATAATTGCTCAAATGTACCTGAGAGCAGTCAGTGAAATAAACTATCATTACCATGGGATGTAAAATCAATAAAAGAAAACTACTCGCACCAATGCAAAAATACTAGTATTTAAAACATCTTGTAGTACTGGTAGTTACCTATACTTTTCAGCATGTTGTTTGGAAAAGCAATCTCTGCAAGTAGACCTGTAATGTCCACATCTGTGTACTTACTCGATAAATAAAAAGCATTCTTAAAGATTTTATATTGGGTCACACCAGTCACATGCTCAGATTTAATACTTGTATACACAACCCTTGTTTATATGGCCAATTCCTTTCTTTATGCTTTTCATTCTGTTGTATACTTTCTGCTTTGCTGATCACCATAACTGTTTTATCAAAAGAGTACACAAATTGAGCCTTTAATACTCTTCATCCAAGCAGAAAACTTCCTTAATAAAAAAGCTGTTTTTTGAATGCACACAGCATCAGTAAATAACTCAGCAAGTACCTAGTAATTGTTCACATAAGATTTTCCAAAAGTGTTGCAATATTTGGTATTTTTGAATACTATTGTGATCCCAAGAACTAGACTTTCTTCTTTTTGGATCCGATCTAGACTTAATCTACCATTTTGAATTGGACAAAAATATATGCCAGTGGGGGCCCGAGGCACTGCCCACCTGTACGGGCCTTAGAGTGCATTAGCTCTTATTGTGACACAACACATACTGTACCACATACTGTACAACAGGTCCTTATTTTCAAATAAGTGTGGCTTATATATAATCACTGGTATACCATGATAACTCACCACAGCTAAAGCATTCATTATATATACTCTTCTGATGCATCTTTTTATGTTACTTCCAACGTGAAAAAGTGAGAAATTTGTGTGTATCTCTTACTTGGCCTTAGTCAAACAAAAGAAAATAATGGCCCTTAAAGTGGCAGTGACCTGGATAAGTCACTATTTAACTAGGCCATTGGTCTAAGTTTGGAACTTGATAGAGTGTTGGTCATTTGGGTCAGTAAAGGTACAGGTACATGTACATGTACATCTACTAGTGCATATATGTACTGATCAGGAATAGTTCTTGAGAGAGTTCTGGTATACAGTATTTTCAACTTAAATTAGTATCAGAGATACACGCATATATATTTCTGTTTGAGAAATTTCTGTAAGCCCAGTTTAAAGATGTTAAAAGCATCTTTTTATTGATACATTGTAAATCTATATAAGTGGTTTTAAGGGAAGACTGCAGGTTGGAGATTTTATATCTTGAATCAAAGGTCTTAGCTTTTTTATTCCTGTTGCATTCATTTAATGTATCATCAAAACATCTAATTATGCTTGAAACAGGTTTCCAAGTTCATAGTGTGACATAATACCAGGATTTTTGGGACTAAAACATCATTTTCGGTTTCCTGATTTTCTCAGGCACCTGGACAGCTATAAACATGCTTTTACTTGAACAAAGTACTACATGTACAAAAGGAGTTCTTGCACAAAGAAGTTCTTGTTCATGAATATCTTTGGGTTATCTATGTCTCTATTCAGATCATTAGTAGGTTCTTTTACTAATTTAAACTACAGTAGTGCAATACCTGTACCGTGGCATGTCATCTTGTCATCAATGTTTTGTCATTTCCTTAATGAATTGTTGGAGCAAGGTACGTACGTGTAAGGAGTGAGAATTTTTTATCTTTTAATGTAGGAATTAAACATGCTGGTTATCTATGCAGTATGTTCGTAAAACTGAAAATCTCAGTGTGGCACCAGGTGCACAATTATATCAACTCTCTAATATCACACATATTATTTGATGTCAATGTAGATGGCATTTGAGATACATGAACTGCTGTGCAGTACAAAAAATAAAAAGATAAAAATGCACACAATGAAATACTAGTTTTTGGAAAAAATAAATGCCAGATGCAGGAGTCAGTGAATTTCATTAATTTTTGTAGTTATATGTACATTACTTCATAAAAATATTCATGAATGAATTGAGGTACATGAAATTGTCACACATATGACACAATTCTTAATTATAATGAAACAAAGTTGATCAAAAACTCCAAAGTCAACCACAGTATACTGGCAGTTACTTGACAACCTATAGCTAACCAGAAATTCCAGTTATTTATTTACATCTACCTGTACACATCGATTCTTTAATTATGAAGGAGACCTTGTAATTAAGTCATAGTAGTACAGTACAATGTCATATTTTTTTTATTTGATAATTCTAAAATTTAATGAGTCTTTATTTAAAAAATAACACATGAAAAACTTCAAACCACATTACCTTTTTAATGCTATAAAAATGGATACTGCCAATTTGTTTAGATTATCCAAGTTTTACACACAATTATGAATTTGCATAATCCACAAATATTAAACAACAAGTATTAATGCTGTGTACCTGTATTTCAATTGTAATTCAAGACATAAATGTGTGATGAAAAACCATTGTTTTAGATTTTCATTTCTTTTTAGATAATATCTAAAATATAGAAAAAGTAGCCATACAGAATAAGTATCTTGCATCCCTTAAATCAAATGCAAAATGAGAAAAGACATTTTTTGCAATAATACTAAGACACATTAGTTAAAAACTCTGATGCAATAAAGCCAGGCAAATATTGATAAAATTTGTTGGTAAGCAACAGCTCTCAAGAAACAGATATGGCAGATGAAACGTTATCAAAAACAACAGCATCAAGATTTAACCTGGAATGACTTGTAAATTTCTCCCACTTACAAAACCAATAGTATACCCAATGCTTTTTCCATTTGAAAAAAAAAATGGTGTGACAAAAAGTTTGATTTCCATAAAAAATCAGTCAATCACTGTTGTGAGCCAACATATTAACTTGTCTGGCCTATAGGTGAATTTATGTGTAAAAGGTTTAAGGGTCACATATCTCTCTCCCCTTTAAGCCTCCAAAATCTGTATATAAAAATTCTAATGGGACAATGAAAAAAGATTAGCCTTGCATATGTGCCCTCTTCCACCACACACACACACACACACACACACACACTACAGAAGAAATGTATAACTTCACCATCTATAAAATAAAAAAAAAAACACAAAAAATATTTAATATACAAAATACATTCCATCAAAATTTCTGATGCATCTCAAAACAAATCTGTTCCCAATAAAATGAGAAAGAAAGTGAGCTACAACTGTAGTTACTGGTATTAATAGCTCATGCTGGTGAAGGTCTAGTTTGTGTCCAGAATGTTGCATAATCATACAGCTATCTGACAACCTGTCATGAGCTCTTAGAGGCATGTCCAGCTGACATAACCATTTTTAAACAGAGTTTCATCTTCATCATTTCCAAATTGCAAATCTCGAGTTCCACTTTTATTAATTTCGCACATAGAAAACCGGTGTTTGTCAGAAGGTTTTTTTGTATAAGCCTCTTGTTCTGATATTGTAACCTCTGAGGTAGATCGATCCATTCTCCCCAAAAACTTTGAAGGAGAGTTCAACAAACTTGAGGATCTGTCCCACATTGACTCTTGTATGTCCCCTGCAATTATTTCTCTTAGAGGGTCACTGGTAGTTAGTGGATGTGTATTCTCAGATTTTGTAAAAGAAATATATCCTGAATCAGGTGACACTGGTTCCATGTCTGACATGTCACCTGAGGATGGTAACGATGATGATCTGTCAGAGCTGTGAGGCACACTGCCCGGAGGGTCATATTGGATGTCAAACCTTGAATATCCCTGGGGTGTGTTATTTAATTTTAGGCATTGAGAATTATGGCATATAATACATGGATCTATTTGTGAGTCTTTACTCTTTTGCCCACTGATGTCTCTGCATTTGTCTTTCCAGACTTTATTTTGTGTTGGGTCAGAAGATGATTCCTGTTTAATATCTAAATGTAAAAGTGAGTTTTTACGACAACAGGCTTGACAACCACTCTGGTCAGCAATGCAAATTCCTTTCTCTTCTGTTTCTATCACACCCCTGTCTTGTGGTAGCTTTGTGTTTGTTATTTCATATAAAAGTGGGGTCCTTATATCCCTTTGTCTGATGGCAGTACATGTGTCTAGTGCAGAAGATAGATCATTTTTGTCACGGCTGATGATTTCATCATATAAGCTGCTATCATGGACCAGTCCACTGTCAGTATTACTGACTCTTGTATAAGAGTCATACTAAAATATAAATAAAATAGCGAAAAATTACATAATTATAAGAGTCATGTGTGTGTGTGTGTGTGTGTGTGTGTGTGTGTAACATAATTTTTATGAAAACAACTTATGAATGAATAAACAGAAACAGTGGATATAGTAATGTAGTGATTTGTGAGCTTGTACCATGATTCAGAAAAAATATGTCCAATATAGTTTTTTAATACAGAATAATTCTATTAACAGCAGTATATGTGTAAATTTAAAATATGGAGATTTCTTTAGAAAATAATATGTGACTTTTATCTGGCTGGAATCTTAATGCATGTAACACAAAATAGCATTTATAGAGGCTTCACCTTCATGTTGTAATCATATGCGAAGTGGGAATCGGTAGTAATATCAGGTTCATGAGGGATATCTGGTACCTTAATGGTAAGAAATATATGTCAATGTTAGATGTTAGATATTGATCAGATTGATATGCATCAGGCACAGTGCATATAGCTAAAAGCATTCACCTTCTGACACTCTCACATGTCTAGCTGGCTGTTGTCATTTAATTTACCTGTTATACAATCCAACCAAGTTGAAAAACCAAATGCATCTTTTTTTTGTCAAACTACTTCACAGTAGTAATTAAAGCAGCAAGTAGCTCAGTCAATATAAAAGTCCTCTCCCATCCCCCATTCTGAACCAAATTCTACAACTCTAGCAAAATTTTACACTGATTCATGGAACCTCAGGCTATCTTGGGTGATGTACGTATTTTAGCATAAAGTCAATTAATAGAAATAAATAAACTGCAAATCACAAATTAATAAGATATTTTAAACTTTGACATTAAAATCGAGAGGATACTCACTTCAATGTCCAGTGTACCATATATTTTCTTCTTTAACCATAATCCAAGACTATGTATCAAAAGAAAAAACTTTGTTATGCTCTACAAACTAATATAAATGCAGTTCAAACATTTGAATTATAAAGCTTTTAAATGTATCACTTCTTGCATTTGGGAATCAGTTTGAATCACTGGCTTTAATTAAACTCATTTAAATCATAGAAACCTTGTTATTTCCATAATGAGGATTACAGCTTACCATGCAATCACAATTGCAGCAACAATAATAATTGGTAAAATGGACCATATTAAAAGAACTGACATGCTCTGAGGAAGAGGTGTCCAGGAACTCTTTGAATCTGAAATAGCTATGTTAACAAAAAATATTAATATTTGAAGCCAAACATTGCAATTTAGATAAAAGTTATCTATTTTCTTTGCAATCATTAGTGTTCATGTAAAGATTTACTTCAGCTTAGAAGCAGACACACCATTGAAAATTGTGTTAGATGTACCATCTCAACCCAACACATTCTGCTGTGACTTACTGGTCTCACTTAAATTTCCGCATGTGACCACCGTCAGTGAACTCCAGTACAGTCCTCCCTGCGGTCTCACTGCTATGCTGATGTTATACTGGTTTGTTGCTGGTGCAACATTGGTCAAATATATAGTTGCATTCATGGTTTTGGATCTATTCAGGTATACAACCACCTATTATGTGTACAATGAATATCTGTTAGAATAGAAGCATATCTATTGATTTTTCCATAGTTAATGTAAAAGTCAAATGACCAAGTTTTCAATATCAAAGTTTTTTCATAAAGTTTTCATTGTTCTACGTTAAATAAAATTTTGTTTTGTGTCTTTTCTGCTCTTTCACATAACTTGCCATACTCATTGAGATTTTATAACATTTTTCAAGACGTTGAAGTACATTTTAAACCAATTAAAAGTACCAGTATAAATACAAAAATAGGCATATAGGATGAACGGAACATAAATAAAATCAATTCATACTTACTGTGTGATTGTCTGGTTCAATCCTGTATTCAACCCTGTACTGCAGGCCACGGCCCACTGTAGATAAAATATAATCCTCCATGATGTTCCTTCCTGAGGGGGATGCTTGCCATGACAAACTGATCATTGAGTTGTTCACTGCTATAGCTTTGACATTTCTGACAGGGTTCAGCTTCACTGTTTTTGAAAAAAAAAAGCAACAAATCTCTTTTAAGCTTGCAGATTAGTTCAGATAATATAAATTATAAAAACTTAATGCAATCAAATAAAAATGGTCTCATTCACTTCCCAGGTGATCTTCTATTGCATTATAAAGACTTGAAGGCAATGGTTTTGTCTATGTTCAATAAATCCTGTTCTTTACCAAGGGCATTACATCAGATACAATACAATACATTTTTCTATACAGTAGCTATAGATATATAAATTAAACTAAAATTACTCACCAGATTTAAAAATGTCCACTTCTGTGATAGCTGATGTACTCTCCCCCAAAACATTTTTACCCTGAACCTTGAAATATTGGGAAATACCGGTAATATACTTTGAGTCCAATGTGCACTTTTGTCCCTGGCGATCGCATGGTGTATAGGATACATTGCTGGAAATAGCAATTAAAGTGCATTATTCATAAGTAGAAAAAGTATTCTTTTGTTGTCCCCATGCAGAAAATTAGACTGTGTTCCCATAAACCCATCATACTAGATGGATCAATCCAACTCTACAGGGCTGCCTAAGGCCTCATTCAGAATAGGGGACTAACTAGTCCAAGGGTCAAATATGGCCGACCCATCTGAATACTTCCCCATGGGATATCTATTCAATGTCTATCAGCGGATTAGACGGCAAGCTTTGTAGTGGGTCGCCATATTTGACCCTCGGACTAGTTAGTCCACTATTCTGAATGGGACCTAAGATTACCTTTTAGGTCTGTTTATGTGTGTAAGGGGGCATTCAGAACAAATTGATCTGCAGACTAACAGATCTGCAGGTCAAATACTGTATTGCCGACTCACTTGAAAGCTTGTCCTATATTCCCATTACAGACACTGAATAGATTCCCTGCAGAGATAAACTTTCAACTTGGTTGGCCATATTTGGTCTTCAGATCTGTTGGTTTGCGGATGAACCTCGGGTGTGAATGCAGTCTAAGTGAACTTAATCTTGTAATTAATAGCCAATACATTTGTTTTCATTTCATTTTCCATCTCCTATCTTATATCCAGTAAGAAATTTATAAATGCCTCAAATAGATGACTCAAAAACAGTGTATTTTCTTTCCTGGGAAGGTGGGGAGGNCAGGGGTATTTTTGGGACTAAAACATCATTCTCGGTTTCCTGATTTTCTCAGGCACCTGGACAGCTATAAACATGCTTTTACTTGAACAAAGTACTACATGTACAAAAGGAGTTCTTGCACAAAGAAGTTCTTGTTCATGAATATCTTTGGGTTATCTATGTCTCTAAGTCATACTAGATTAATATTCAGATCATTAGTAGGTTCTTTTACTAATTTAAACTACAGTAGTGCAATACCTGTACCGTGGTGTGTCATCTTGTCATCAGTGTTTTGTTATTTCCTTAATGAATTGTTGGAGCAAGGTACGTACGTGTAAGGAGTGAGAATTTTTTATCTTTTAATGTAGGAATTAAACATGCTGGTTATCTATGCAGTATGTTCATCAAACTGAAAATCTCAGTGTGGCACCAGGTGCACAATTATATCAACTCTCTAATATCACACATATTATTTGATGTCAATATTGTAGATGGCATTTGAGATACATGAGCTGCTGTGCAGTACAAAAAATAAAAAGATAAAAATGCACACAATGAAATACTAGTTTTTGGAAAAAATAAATGCCAGATGCAGGAGTCAGTGAATTTCATTAATTTTTGTAGTTATATGTACATTACTTCACAAAAATATTCATGAATGAATTGAGGTACATGAAATTATCACACATATGACACAATTTTTAATTATAATGAAACAAAGTTGATCAAAAACTCCAAAGTCAACCACAGTATACTGGCAGTTACTTGACAACCTATAGCTAACCAGAAATTCCAGTTATTTATTTACATCTACACATCGATTCTTTAATTATGAAGGAGACCTTGTAAGTCATAGTAGTACAGTACAATGCCATATTTTTTCATTTGATAATTCTAGAATTTAATGAGTCTTTATTTAAAAAATAACACATGAAAAACTTCAAACCACATTACCTTTTTAATGCTACAAAAATGGATACTGCCAATTTGTTTAGATTATCCAAGTTTTACACAAAATGAATTTGCATAATCCACCAATATTAACAGATCTGGCAGATGAAACGTTATCAAAAGCAACAGCATATTAAGGTTTAACCTGGAATAACCAATAGTATACCCAATGTTTTTTTTCCATTTGTAAAAAAAATGGGTGCAACAAAAAGTTTGATTTCCATAAAAAATCAATCAATCACTGTTGTGAACCAACATATTAACTTGTCTGGCCTATAGGTGAATTTATGGTATAAGGTTTTAGGGTCACATACCTCTCTCCCCTTTAGACCTCCCAAATCTGTATATAAAAATTCTAATGGGACAATGAAAAAAGATTAGCCTTGCATATGTGCCCTCTTCCACCACCACCACACACACACACACATACACACACACACACTACAGAAGAAATGTATAACTTCACCATCTATAAAATAAAAAAAAACAAAAAATATTTAATATACAAAATATATTCCATCAAAATTTCTGATGCATCTCAAAACAAATCTGTTCCCAATAAAAGGAGAAAGAGAGTGAGCTACAACTGTAGTTACTGGTGAAGGTCTAGTTTGTGTCCAGAATGTTACATAATCATACAGCTATCTGGCAACCTGTCATGAGCTCTTAGAGGCATGTCCAGCTGACATAACCATTTTTAAACCGAGTTTCATCTTCATCATTTCCAAATTGTAAATCCTGAGTTCCATTTTTATTAATTTCGCACATAGAAAACCAGTGTTTGTTAGAAGGTTTTTTTGTATAAGCCTCTTGTTCTGATATTGTAACCTCTGAGGTAGATCGATCCATTCTCCCAAAAAACTTTGAAGAAGAGTTCAACAAACTTGGGGGACTCTCCCACATTGACTCTTGTTTGTCCCCTACAATCATCTCTCTTAGAGGGCCACTGGTAGTTAGTGCATGTGTATTCTCAGATTTTGTAAAAGAAATATATCCTGAATCAGGTGACACTGGTTCCGTGTCAGACATGTCACCTGAGGATGGTAACGATGATGATCTATCAGAGCTGTCAGGCACACCACCCTGAGGGTCATATTGAATGTCAAACCTTGAATATCCCTGGGGTGTGTTATTTAATTTTAGGCATAGAGAATTATGGCATGTAATACATGGATCTATTTGTGAGGCTTTACTCTTTAGCCCACTGATGTCTCTGCATTTGTCTTTCCAGACTTTATTTTGTGTTGGGTCAGAAGATGATTCTTGCTTAATATCTAAATGTGAAAGTGAGTTTTTACGACCACAGGACTGACAACCACTCTGGTCAGCAATGCAAATTCCTTTCTTTTCTATTTCTATCACACCCCTGTCTTGTGGTAGCTTTGTGTTTGTTATTTCATATAAAAGTGGGGTCCTTATATCCCTTTGTCTGATGGCAGTACATGTGTCTAGTGCAGAAGATAGATCATTTTCGTCATGGCTGATATTTTCATCATATAAGCTGCTATCATGGACCAGTCCACTGTCAGCATTACTGACTCTCGTATAAGAGTCATACTAAAATATAAATAAAATAGCGAAAAATTACATAATTATAAGAGTCATGTGTGTGTGTGTGTGTGTGTGTGTGTGTGTGTGTGTGTAACATAATTTTTATGAAAACAACTTATGAATGAATAAACAGAAACAGTGGATATAGTAATGTAGTAATTTGTGAGCTTGTACCATGATTCAGAAAAAATATGTCCAATATAGTTTTTTAATACAGAATAATTCTATTAACAGCAGTATATGTGTAAATTTAAAATATGGAGATTTCTTTAGAAAATAATATGTGACTTTTATCTGGCTGGAATCTTAATGCATGTAACACAAAATAGCATTTATAGAGGCTTCACCTTCATGTTGTAATCATATGCCAAGTGGGAATCAGTAGTAATATCAGGTTCATGAGGAATATCTGGTACCTTAATGGAAAGAGATATATGTCAACGTTAGATGTTAGGTATTGATCAGATTGATATGCATCAGGCACAGTGCATATTGCTAAAAGCATTCACCTTCTGACACCCTCACATGTCTAGCTGGCTGTTGTCATTTAATTTACCTGTTATACAATCCAACCAAGTTGAAAAACCAAATGCATCTTTTTTTTTTGTCAAACTACTTCACAGTAGTAATTAAAGCAGCAACTAGCTTGATCAGTCAATACACAAGTCTTCCCCCATCCCCCATTCTGAACCAAATTCTACAACTCTTGCAAAATTTTACACTGATTCATGGAACTTCAGGCTATCTTGGATGATGTACTTTAGTATAAAGTCAATTAATAGAAATAAATAAACTACAAATCACAAATTAATAAGATATTTTAAACTTTGACATTAAAATCGAGAGGATACTCACTTCAATGTCCAGTGTACCATATATTTTCCTCTTTAACCATAATCCAAGACTATGTATCAAAAGAAAAAATTTGTTATGGTCTACAAACTAATATAAATGCAGTTCAAACATTTGAATTATAAAGTTGTTACAAAAATGTATCACTTCTTTCATTTGGGAATCAGTTTGAATCACTGGCTTTAATTAAACTTTTTTAAATCATAGAAACCTTTTTATTTCCATAATGAGGATTACAACTTACCATGCAATCACAATTGCAGCAACAATAATAATTGGTAAAATGAACCCTATTAAAAGAACTGACATGTTCTGAGGAAGAGGTGTCCAGGAACTCTTTGAATCTGAAATAGCTAGGTTAACAAAAAGTATTAATATTTGAAGCCAAACATTGCAATTTATGATAAAAGTTATCTATTTTCTTTGCAATCATTAGTGTTCATGTTAAGTTTTTCTTCAGCTTAGAAGTATAGACACACCATTGAAAATTGTGTTAGATGTGTCATCTCAACCCAACACATTCTGTTGTGACTTACTGGTCTCACTTAAATTTCCACATGTGACCACCGTCAGTGAACTCCAGTACAGTCCTCCCTGCGGTCTCACTGCTATGCTGATGTTATACTGGTTTGTTGCTGGTGCAACATTGGTCAAATATATAGTTGCATTCATGGTTTTGGATCTATTCAGGTATACAACCACCTATTATGTGTACAATGAATATCTGTGAGAATAGAAGCATATCTATTGATATTTCCATAGTTAATGTGAAAGTCAAATGACCAAGTTTTCAATATCAAAGTTTTTTCATAAAGTTTTCATTGTTCTACATTAAATAAAATTTTGTTTTGTGTCTTTTCTGCTCTTTCACATAACTTGCCATACTCATTGAGATTTTATAACATTTTTCAAGACGTTGAAGTAAATTTTCAACCAATTTAAAGTACCAGTATTAATACAAAAATAGGCATATAGGATGAACAGAACATAAATAAAATCAATTCATACTTACTGTGTGATTGTCTGGTTCAATCCTGTATTCAACCCTGTACTGCAGGCCACGACCCACTGTAGATAAAATATAATCCTCCATGATGTTCCTTCCTGAGGGGGATGCTTGCCATGACAAACTGATCATTGAGTTGTTCACTGCTATAGCTTTGACATTTCTGACAGGGTTCAGCTTCACTGTTTTTTGAAAAAAAAAAGCAACAAATCTCTTTTAAGGTTGCAGATAAGTCCAGATACATAATTATAAAAACTTAATGCAATCAAATAAAAATGGTCTCATTCACTTCCCAGGTGATCTTCTATTGCATTATAAAGACTTGGGGACAATGGTTCTGTCTATGTTCAATAAATCCTGTTCTTTACCAAGGACATTATATCAGATACAATACAATACATTTTTCTATACAGTAGCTATAGATATATAAATTAAACTAAAATTACTCACCAGATTTAAAAATGTCCACTTCTGTGATAGCTGATGTACTCTCCCCCAAAACATTTTTACCCTGAACCTTGAAATATTGGGAAATACCGGTAATATACTTTGAGTCCAATGTGCACTTTTGTCCCTGGCGATCGCATGGTGTATAGGATACATTGCTGGAAATAGCAATTAAAGTACATTATTTATAAGTAGAAAAAGTATTCTTTTGTTGTCCCCATGCAGAAAATTAGACTGTGTTCCCATAAACCCATTATACTAGATGGATCAATCCAACTCTACAGGGCTGCCTAAGGCCTCATTCAGAATAGGGGACTAACTAGTCCGAGGGTCAAATATGGCCGACCCATCTGAATACTTCCCCACGGGATATCTATTCAATGTCTATCAGCGGATTAGACGGCAAGCTTTGTAGTGGGTCGCCATATTTGACCCTCGGACTAGTTAGTCCACTATTCTGAATGGGACCTAAGGTTACCTCTTAGGTCTGTTTATGTGTGTAAGGGGGCATTCAGAACAAATTGATCTGCAGACTAACAGATACGCAGGTAAAATACTGTATTGCTGACTCACTTAATTGAAAGCTTGTCCTATATTCCCATTACAGAGACTGAATAGATTCCCAGCAGAGATAAACTTTCAACTTGGTTGGCCATATTTGGTCTTCAGATCTGTTAGTCTGCAGATGAACTTCGGGTGTGAATGCAGTCTAAGTGAACTTCTTGAATCTTGTAATTAATAGCCAATACATTTGTTTTTATTTCATTTCCCATCTCCTATCTTATATCCAGTTAGAAATTTACAAATGCCTCAAATAGATGACTCAAAAACAGTGTATTTTCTTTCCTGGGAAGGTGGGGGTGTCTTGGTGGAGGTGTAGGGAGGGAATTGTCTTGGGGGGAATTGTTGGGGGGGGGGGGGGCTGAATGATACAACACACTATACTTACTATACTTTAGGTTACAGAGGTATTACCTATAATGGACCATGATTAGCCATGCCAATAACCTGGCTACATCACTCATCAGGGGGTTGAGATGAATGAAAAGAGTTGTAACGCCAATGTACATACCACTGCAAGGACCAGTCTAACATCTATGTAAAATTGTCCAATTGAAACATGGCTAAGGGAATGGGATCATTAATCTCCAAGTATCCCCAAAGAATGCACTTAAAACAAGAAAAATGCAACTCCTATCAGTATGTGGAAACTCACTCGTTACTTTTAAGTGCTGTCCAGTTGGTGGATATCAGAGGGTCTCTTCCTGTGGTCCAGCTGCAGGTTAATTCCTCAAAGTTGTATGAGATACAAGAAATGGTAGCCTTATCTGGGGGGTCTTTGAAAAAGAAAGCCATATGACATATTAACTTTTTGTTACAGTCTGACATGATTATTTTGTAGTATATACATGACAGTGGCATGCAATGCGTGCATGTGCTGCCTAAGCTGCTGTTGCATGTTACGCTGCATGGACAGTGATAAAATGCATACTCACATCCCACTTCCACATACTGAGCCTCATATCCAGTACTTGGATTATGATCACAATAGTAGGTGCCTTTACGTACATCTTTAACATGGAGTTGCACAGTGGAGTTATCAAGCACTGCAACATTCTCCTGAGAGAAGTTTTTGTAAATATTGTGGAAGCTATAGCTGAAGTAGATATTCTTGGGCTGGAGGTTGGGATCCTCCAGGTAACAGGTGAGAGTGAGTGAAGAGCCAGCTTCAACCACTGGGTCTTTGGGCATTAATCCTAAAAATTGAAAAGTTTACAAACCACTTATAAAATTTCTCACATTCTAGATTCTTCTGCTAAAGACGATGTGTTTTCTAACAATTTTTGATATTTTGAGTGTAAGAATATAGCTGGCAACCATAAGCTCCACTGAACACTGCAAATGCTACTGTAAACAGTAACTGTGACATGGAACATTATATAGATCTAAATATTCATGATATTGTTTACAGCAATAAAGCAACTCAGCAGTACCAATATTGACTTAAAATCTTTGTTTTAGGCAGTAACGTATCTTTTTATAATATGAAAGTCAGTCAGACAAAATTTATCTTGTATGGTGACTTCTTTAAGAGGAAATTCCTGACAAAATAAACCTTCAATGCAAGTAAATAAAAAAAAAAAAAATAAAATAATAACAATAATAATAATCACAGTCTTTGTCTGCAAGACTTTTTTCCTCAACTTATTATTATAATATGATACTTAGCCTTTTAATTTGATGGAAAATTGAATATATCACATCAACGTAAGGAAAAAACACTGATACTTACTAAGACTGGCCACTGTAGACGTATTTATCATTAGAACTGCAGTGATGAGTTGCCACATGGTCAGCATGGCACTACTACAGTAGTACTTTAATGGAGGTAGTCATCAGTTTTGTTATTTAAAACAATTACCATTCATATGTATTAGGTGGAGAAATCCAGGTCTTTATCAGCAGTCACATCTGAAAGGTTGAAATGGTGTCAACTGTACTGGTACAGTAGGTGTATCATGATCTTAGATCAGTGAAGGTTATATTGATGGGTCAACTTTTTGTCAGATCTGATAACATTTCAAAGAGAAATGATAATATTCAAGATTAAAAGATAAAACAAAATAAAATATCCAACTGCTATAGTGTTGAACTGAATGTACTAGTAGAACTGAGGAAAATACATGTATCCCCATTGTTGCACAAATGACATAAAAACAGTTTATGAAGATATGTGGAACCCTTAATATATCATATTGGAATTGATATTTATGTCCTAACCCCCTGCTCCAGCTATAAATGGAGTCATGCAAGGAAGTTACAAACTGTACATGGCTTGGAGCATTAGTATATACTGTCATTTGGCAATAATATGAAAGTTTTCTTCAGTGTTAATTTTTGTTAATCATAACTTATTTACAAAATAACCTGTCCTCTTTTCAAATGCAGACAATCTCTATCTTTCTATAGCTCTCTTTTTCTCCCTCTCACACTCTTTCTCTACCAACCACCTCCTATCCCCAATTTACCTACCCCCTATCTCTCTTATCTTTATTTTTAATTATTTATAGTTGTACATCCTGTCATGATTGCAGTCAAATTCTATTTGTGCAGTTTTTAACACAATACTAAATTTACCCATCACTGCTGTCATGCATGTATGTATGTATATTCACACTGCACTGACATTGCACTGATTCACCTGAATAATCAAATTGGATATCAACATTAAATAAACAATGTATATAAAAGAGTTGATAATATCTTCAGACTTCTTTGTATCTTGAAGCTTGGTTTTGCAAAAATAAGAAAAATAAGAACACATAAAATAAATAAATAAATAGATAAATAAATAAATAAATAAATAAATAAATAAATAAATAAATGTCTCACCTCCTAAATGCAAACAACATGTATTTTGGAGAAAAAGAAACATTTAACATTTTTGTCAAGAGTCCTGAACAATATTCTCATACAAACTGAATCATTACAGCCCATTAACCCCCAAACTGTGTGAGTTCCACTGTGTGCAATTTAATCATACTCACCTTTTGTGCTGATACGTTTTTGTAAATTATTGACATCCCATGGAAACATGACAGCTCATGTTTCATAATTATCTTAATACAGACAGGCATATTACGAGTATAACTCCTGATAAAGATGGCAGATGAGCACAACCTCTCTGTGGTGGCATTTATCTGCGAAATATCTTTATTTGTCAATATTATCAACATTTAAAGGAGCATGAAAGCAGCAAGGCAGGGGAAATATAAAAATGCTGAACTTCACGTTAAAAAGTTTTGCTCTCTTTCATAAACAGTAATTAAGAAATAGATAAAGTAAAAGAAATAGAAAATCATGACTTCTTCAGTGTCAAATGATGGGCCGAAAGAACAGCCTACACAACTGTCCAAATATGCCAGTATATTTTAGAATACTATTTATACAAAACACCTACCTTGTTTCACTATACCTGCACGTAGCACTGCATCTTTTACAGGTGCATACTAACAATATTGGACTCGGTATACAGACTAAAAAACTGGAAAGAACTTAGGCTTGCCTCAGGTCCAGCGATTGCCCCCAAAGTATGTATGTCCAGGCCAAGACTGAGTGTAAAGGTGTCACAACCCTACAGGGTCAGCTTGGTGGATTAATGAGGCAACACCATTTTATTACATTCATCGTGTAGTGCACACGAGGTATTAAAAAAGAATTTAGGTCAATGACTGTTTTATAGTTTGTTATAAAGGGTGTCATATAATGGGCATATAGAATGATTTTGCTATTAAAAAATGATAAGAGTTTTTATTGAAACTATTTCCCTTGCTTTGAAAGTTTGAGTTACAGTTTATTTTCATTAGGTTTGAAATAACAATGTATCTGGTTGTTTTTGACAACTTTTTAGCATCAGTTATAGTATTTTAGTAAAAAATAAACACAATGCATCTGGTTCCTCCTTTAATATGTTATGAAGAAAGTGTGGAGTAAAAAGAACATTAAAATTTTGAAACTAGTCTGCTAATTTTGTTTTCTTTCTTGGACCAGTGCCTTGTTATATCACACAGTTATTCCTGATGTTGATGTTCACTTGTAAATCAGGAAAACCACATAAAAGTAATAAGACAAGATTAACTGGAGGGCATTAATGGCATGCCAAGAAGAATATTCTTGGTATGTTAACATGAAGGGGCCATTTAGATTGGTGTTGTTCCAATAACTTCTAGTTATGTCAACATCCCAAATTATGGTAATTTTTCGGTCTTTTCAATGGGTAAAACTGATAAAACTTGTAGGCACATAATTTTATAATAATAAAAATCATATCTTTATATAGCCTTTGAGGTGCTTTTACTGCATAGGAAAGGAGGTAGAGTAGCCTGCTTTTTAATTTTGTAGCTACCACTCATGAGGAATGTTCTGATTTTAGGAAATTATGATTTAAAAAATAGACTTAATGTAAAATTCACAATTTACCCACACTGAAAAAAACCAAGTTTTTACAGTATTTCTATAATTTCTTTTGTGTATATTCTTTTTTTGCCCTATCAACAAACAATCAAACCAACTGACAGACAACGACAAAAATAACATCTTTAAAGAAGATATACAAAAATCATTCTTTACAAAACCTAGCATCAAAAAACAAGCTATTTTCTACAATATGATATAAAATATACCATTAAGAAGGTCCAGACATAAAATATATCACTAAGAAAGTTAATAAATGTTCAGAAATTCTTTTTTAGGACAGGACTGGCAACTCCCAAAAGCTAATGAGCATTTAAATATGGGGACCTTTCCTTTCAATAATTATTATTTGGATATTTTACCTGCCCTCTATATTTAGTTTTTCATCTACCATTTAAAGTGATTTTTAAAGAATTTTTAAAAGAAATCTCTTGATCAAAATTTCATTTTTAATCAAATAAATAAATAATATAGAACAGAATGTGAAGTCTTGTTTCAATACTACATTACACTATGTTCTCTATCAATTCAATCAGCTTCACATGAATGTCATGCCTCCTTGAGCAGCTAGTTAAAAGTTGATAACCCTCTTGGTGAGAATCCCCTGTAAAGTTGGACTGATGTGTCTATCATAGAGAAATGAAGTTGATCTTTCATGGTTTGTTACACAATAAAAGCCAAAACTGAAAACCCATTTCAAAATTTCCCACCAACAATTCCCATATACTTCCCTATAAAACTTTAATGATGATGATGATTTTGTTCCCATTCTTAAAAGTTTGGATGATTTCACATAGATCTGCATCACATATGTTGTAGAATTATGCAGAACTGGACAAAAATGCTCTTGTGGTATAAAGCTGAAGCCTTGATATTCATAAAATACAGCATTGTGTTTTTTTTGCATGTAACATGTATTTTTGAAATACCAGTATACTCACCAATTGTTTGTCTGCAGTTAGCCCTAATTACACTCTATGGAATAAATGTCTGTGACCTATAGTTCATAAACATACATAAATAAATGTCAAGCAGTATGTCCCAGCCTACTTATTTAAATCCCAATCCTGTTTGTGGTTTTATAAGTGATATTTTTAAACAGTTTCTTTATTCTTTATTACTCCTTTGCATGGTAAAGTAGACTTCTTATCTCAAAACAATACAGTTCAAGTCTCTCACATATGTAATGGAGACAAAAATCCTTCCACACGCTTCATTATGTGTTCCATCATTATTGAAAGAAAAAATTTGTCTGACATTTCATGTCTTATAAAATTCTCCTTAGTAACATCACGTACATCCTAATTACCTTATGATTTGCATATTCCTCTTTGAAAGGGATATGAGTATGCACTGTAACTTACCAGTACTAGTAACTACCGGTATCTCAAGAAGTGTGTGTGAATTTCCACTGTTATATTTTGGTTTCACAGCCTATTCTTCCTGGTGTTATGGACTACCTGATAATCATGTGCATCAATATTTGATGTATTGATAATGGATAAATATTAAAAAATTCCACACCCACCTAAAAATGCCACATACTCTGTTTGTAAGATCAATAAAAAATATGGATGAAAAACACAACAGGATCAATGTCCTTGTATGTAAAACATCAATAACAATGCAGGGGCATATCTTGGTTTTGCTCTGTCAACCTGTAGTCTTTATTAGAGAAAAAGGTCAATACACTATATTTTCCTTCCGTTACAGTGTATACAATTTATTCATTTCTTGACGAATCGAAAATCAACATACTATTACTAATAAGGTTTTTTAGCAGCTGCCAGTTGGCTCTTGAAGAAATAAATTTCCTCATCAATAGGTAACAACAATACTATAATGCAATACAGTGGCTGGACTAATTCACTGAAAATCTTTAATCAGTTTGAACTGAAGCAGGCTTCTCAGTATGTGACATCATTCTGATCCTTTCCAGTCTTTACTTCATTTGGCAAGACAGAAAACTTTACAAACATGTTCAATGAATGTAACATAAACACTCATTCTCCCTCAAAATATAGGTCCATTTGAAGAAAACAAAAAGGTGAAAAATGAAGTTAAAGATATATTTGGAAATTTTATTTTTTTTCTAAATCTCTGGTGACAGAAAGTGATAAATCTAGCTTTTTGTGTGAATCATGGAAATTTCAAAATTCACGCCTCTCTAGTATTGGGAAATTTTCATACACAGTAACGAAGGTTTCAGCTGTTTCAGTACATAAAATAACAACCCATTTCGATAATATTTGTATATGATATTAATACTAATAAAAAATAAAAGTATTACAAGATGCACATTTACTTTACTGATACATTTTGTCCTTAACCTCAAATATATTTTTCACAATGCCTGGTAACGAAGATTGCAAAAACTTTCTAAGAGAATGCAGTTTTGCGTACAGTTTCCTGTAAAATATTTACTGTACCCTGTCACCATATTGTCTAGCTAATTAGGGATGTAACTGAATTTAATGTTTTATTAATGGATAAAATATTACTAAAACATTGAACAATATATAATATAATATAATAAAATATAATATAATATAATGTTACTCAGGGACTTAAGTCTGAATTTTAATCCAACTTAATTGTTATCAGCATTTGCATTTGATGCTGTTACTGCAAATATTCTTCAGTTTGTTTGCAGAATTACACATTTCACAACTTATGAGCAGAGGATTTTCCCACAGACCTCTATGACCATTATTATGTCCTATATACTAATAACTTTCACTTTCAACCCCATGCTTGAATGCATTTCAGGGTCGGATCCAGAGATATTTTCTGATAGTCTTCCAAATTATCTTTGTTAATTCGTCCTCAATTTTTGACCGTCTTCTGACAGAAAATATTAGATACCCGTCAATGTAAACTTAAAAATCTGACCGTCTTCCGGAAGACCCAGAAGACGGCCTAAATCCGCCCCTGCATTTGTTACCATAGTTACACCAAGGAGTTATAACAGAAGGTTCTGTTATAACTCCTTGGTTACACATAAGCTTTTTATTCTCAGCTACTCAGGCTACGGGGGCGTCTCGATAGTCCGAAGGTTCATTGGTCCGAAGGTTCATTGGTCCGAAAAGTGGTAACATTTTTATCGATTTTTTAATCAAGGGTTCATTGGTCCGAAGGTTCTATAGTGAACATTCGGACCAATGAACCTTCGGACTATTGAACCTTCGGACTATCGCTACGGCCCCAAATTGATAAGCCTTGATTACATCTGCCACAGGTGCAGCAAGATATAAGTGTATATATTTTTCCGTATGATTTTTTTTTTTCAAAACTGTAAGTATAGTTACGGGCTACAGCTAATACAACGTGCAGGATCCGTGCCATTTCCCCAACATTATCTCAATATATCATGTGTAGAAAATTGTATTTCATTTGAAAAAGGATAATCCGGAGCCCTTTCATTCTCATTGCAGTTGTCGCATGATTAAGATCAACATGCTGTTGATACAGCCCCCTACGATTTTTTTCAACCTTGTATTCAGATTTAGAAAAACTGCAATTTCACATTTATGCAAATGAATTATACCAAGCAGTTGTACAACTCCTTTATTACAATAACATTTAAACATCTTAACTATTCTTATATCTCCTAAACCACTGAATAAGGAAGGGAAAGAGACCTACAACAGGTTCTACCATTGTCACAAACGCCGCAAGTCCACCGAATATTCCCTGTGCAGGAACTGCGCAATGACATCTATGATATTGTTGTGGTCTACGGGCTTATGATTGATAAAAGTTTGACAAAATCGTAGAGGCTATGGAGGCTGTGAATCTGTACGATTTTGATGAGCTTTGCATGGTCACCGTCTGCCTCCAAACAGACACCGTACGATAACAGATTTACCATCATTTTTATATAATCAACTACCAATATTGTTAAGATTTAAAAAATGCTAAAAGATCATTTTCACGTATCTAATTAGTTCAATAATGAGACTGTTAACATGCCTAAGAATCAAATCTGGGGAAAAACTTTTATAAAAAAGGCATAACTTCATCAAAATTAAACCAATCAAACTTATTTTCAAACTTGATCTGTATATTAGTAAGACTGATCACTCCTGTAAGTTGCAAGACAGATTGGTTTTCCTTGCAGGCTGATTGGTTTTCCTTGAAATTTGTTATCAGTGCTATATGCTAAAGAAGCGAAAAAAACAGCATAACTTTTTTAAAAATGGCCCATTTATGCTGATTTTCAAATTCCACTTGAGTTTTATAAAAAATTCATCAGTTCTGTAAGTTTGCAGCCAAAAGGTTAAATGGTTTCCCACTTATTGTGTTATCGGTGTTGCATATATGCTGAAAAAAAGTGAAAAAAAAGCATAACTTTTGAAAAAATGCCCCAATCCTGATGATTTTCGAACTTGACCTGCGTTTTATAAATATTCATCTGTAAGTTTCAATAAAGAAAGAAAAAAAAAAAAAAAAACTGTGTTCCACTTAATAGTCTTATCCTGTTATCGGTGAAAGTGCATGGTGACGACAGACACAGGTGATGGCTATATGTACTAGTACAGACACATCTGTGTCTGTACATATAACTTTCACTTATATGAAATCTATATGTGCACTAAAATGCAGCAAAGGTTAAGGCATGCAAAACTGTCCCAAGGCAGTAAAATATCACATGGAAATAGACAACTAGAGGATCAGAGAGGCGATACCACCTCCAGATATTGTACCACCAGCTGGAGTAAGCGCATTCGTATGGACCCCCCCCCCCAAAAAAAAAAAAGGGACACCACTACCGGTCTTGTGCTTGACAAGAGATAAAAGGGAACCAAAATTTGCAAAATTCAATTCATCATGAAAAGTAGGTCAAAGGTCAATTTCAAGGTCACAC